TCCTTTGCTTTCCAACTCAATCTGATACCACCCATGGTGGGCACGTGGAAGTATCGGACAGCAGGAGGAGAATAAGCATATAATAGTTTCAATAGATCAGGATCAAAGGGAGATGTCCTAGGGCTGTGGAAAGAAACCAAAGTTGAGTTTCATCAAAACAAAAGCAAAAGAAACAACTGACTTGGGTTCCATAGGAGCAATCCATTCAACAGTGTAAAAAGCAGTGGCCATGATTATGGGGAGGTGGGGGGAAAAAAAAACCTTTGACAGGTGTCACTTATATAGACCTGGGATATAATTGAGTTCTAAAAATAGAATGAAAGAATGGCAAAGTCTAGATTATTCTCACCATGTTCAGTTTCATGTATTCATAGTACAGGTCTAATTCAATAAAAATTGAATTGGATTAAATATACATGGGTTGAGGATTTGCAATGGGAACAAAGGAAAGTATATATCAATACTGAAATGAATAGATACTGGTGGTTCAAGAAGTCTTACTGGGAAGAGCTGGAGTTGATTTCCAAGCTGATACTCCCAATGCTCTTATACATATCATGTATGATAAAAGTCAAATAAATGGATGTGCAGATTAGATAGGATAACTGACAATAAGTGGTGAGGATATGATTACAGAGAGATTTGAGCATCTCAAAATCGACAATGTGTGTGGTAGAATGTACACTCGTAGGCTTTGAAGGTGCACATAGCAGTGAGAGTAGGTCAAGCTCAGAAAGTAAATTTGGTAGGGGCAATTGTTTGGACAAAGGGCAAAAAGGTGCACAAGAGGGATTTTGCTATAAAAGTAAATCAGAAATGATATCAATATGCAGAGATGTGGAAGGGCATGCATTCCGGAGCATTCAAAAGTAGTGTTGAATCAGTAAAATATGGAGCATTGGATATGAAATCAGGTCAGAATGCATATCAAGATTGAGAATGAGGGGGCTGTAAGTGCAATATAGGGTTGGAAAGGAAGGATTTTGAGAATTTAGAAAGAAGCTTCTGTTCAAACCAGGAGTGCCTTGCCATAGATTGAATATGGCAAGGCATACAGAGAGGCTAGCAAAGGGTCCACTGAGTGACTAAACTACTGCAAAACAGACAGAAAAGGACATATTTGAAAAGATATGTCTTTCCAGACAAAAGAGGGCAGGAAGGGCCCGAAACAAGTGTAGATAGGGCGCAAAGTCAAAGTCAAGGTTGAAGGAACCTGCTGCTGTAGCTCAATGGTTGGACTACCTGGATATATACAGGAAGACTGAGACATAGTCCCATTGATAGAAAAAAATAAAAAGAGTAATTAGAAAAGCAGAGAGCCTCAACAGGGATTCGAACCCTGGCCTTTTCATAAGAAATATGACAACTTCAAACAAACAAATATCTATCAAATGCTCTACCACTAAGCTATTGAGGCAATATTTGTGAATGTACTTGACTACATGGAGTGTCAGAGTGCAAAAAAATATTTCACCAACAAGAAACTGACATAGAGCCTCAACAGGGATTTGAACCCTGGCATTTTGATAATATATATCAGGTTACTCGTGGCCATACAAATTTATCAAACACTCTACCACTGAGTTATTGAGGCATAATAGTGAACATATTTGACTAGTTTTAGTGTCAAAAAATATTTGACAACAAGCTGAACGAAAGTCTCAATAGGGATTCGAACCCTAGCCTTTGAGTGATACCGATTTTCACTAAACGCTCTACCTCTGAGCTATTGAGGCTATGCATGTTGAAATCCAAAAATTGTAGATGTTACTGAAAAAGGTGAAAGTGTGGGAATTAATTAGATGCCCACTCGTGCTGGTAACAATTCACCTCTAGAGGGTACAAATGATAATTATATTGGAGTAATGTCAAAGGCCTTCAGAAATGTGGTAAATAGTGTAGATTGGATATGAAATCAAGTCAGAATGCATATCAATATTGATAATGAGTGCTCTAAATGCAATACACAGCCAGAAAGGGAGGTATTTGGGATTTTGGAATAGGACTTGCCTTCCCACCAGGACTGCCTTTGCATAGATCCCAAGGTGTGGAAAGAGGTTTTTGCTATGGATTGGAGCTAAGAATAATATCAATATCGGCCAAACTACTGAAAACCAGACATGAAAGAATGTTTCTGAGAGATAGAGGAGGAAAAGGGCATGGCCTTTCTGGGTGTAATATAGTGGAGTCCACAACAATAACTCGAGATGTAGCATTGAGCTGGCTATGGTATTGAGCAGTGTATTCAAGTACACCTCCATTTTAGTGGGGTCTCGAGACATTGAGGAGGACTAGTGAGACAAGGTGAGTGAGCTGGATCGGAGGCAAGAGTGGAATACGCGCGTCTAAAGATAATGGGACAGGCAAGTGCAACACCTAGTGAATGAAAAACAGTGGTACTTGTTGAAAAAAGTTGTAGATCAAATGATAAAACTGTTGATGCACATGTGACAAAGTTGCAAAGATTTCATGAAAAAGTTGTGCACAGAAACAGAAGGTACAAACTATTTGTAATTATATTCATCATAATCTGCTGTGCACTGAAACAGAGCAATATTCAACCAGGGTACAAGCACTTGGATTGATTTCCAAGTTTTTAACAGGCAAATGGCTGCTCATACTTCTACCAGGATTGTTATTCAACATGTCACAGGCCTTGAGAAATGTTCTGGATTGGATATGAAAACAAGTCAAAATGCATATCAATATTGAGCATGAGTGCTATCAAGAGAATTTAGAATAGACTGTACCACCAGAAAGGGAGGTCAATGGGCATTTTAAAGAGGTCATGCCTTCCAGCCAGGACTGCCTTTGCATAGATCCCAAGGTGTGGAAAGAGGTTTTTGCTATGGATTGGAGCTAAGAATAATATCAATATCGGCCAAACTACTGAAAACCAGACATGAAAGAATGTTTCTGAGAGATAGAGGAGGAAAAGGGCATGGCCTTTCTGGGTGTAATATAGTGAAGTCCACAACGATAACTCGAGATGTAGCATTGAGCTGGCTATGGTATTGAGCAGTGTATTCAAGTACACCTCCATTTTAGTGGGGTCTCGAGACATTGAGGAGGACTCGATGAAGACCAATATGAGTAGTGAGACAAGGTGAGTGAGCGGGATCGGAGGCAAGAGTGGAATACGCGCGTCTAAAGATAATGGGACAGGCAACTGCAACACCTAGTGAATGAAAAACAGTGGTACTTGTTGAAAAAGTTGTATATCCAATGAAAAAACTGTTGAGGAACACAGATGATAAGGCCACAAGAATGTCACGGACAGGTTGTTTACAGAGACAGAAGTTGCCCACTAGTTGCAAATATATTCTTCATAGTCTAATATGAACACATCCAATAAAGTGGCATTGATTTTATGGAAAGGTTGTGCACAGAAACAGAGGCCATAGCTCCAAGGCATACAATACATCATTGTCAACAATCGACTTGTGCATTGGCACTCAAACGTATTCCGGGGCTTTCGACTTTGCCATTGATCCAATGCACGTGCATGTATAGTCAGTGGTGCAGGTGGGTCATATCAATGTAGGCCATATATCCAATGCGTACAACACAATCAACCAGAGTACAAGCACTCGCATCAATTTCCGATTTTGTAATAAGCAGTTGTTTAACATGTCACAGGCCTTGAGAATGGTTCTGGATTGGATATGAAGTTGAGTCAGAATGCATATCAAAATCAACAATGAGGGCTTTCAAGGCAACATGCAGTCGGAAAGGGAGGTCATTGAGAATTTAGAATAGACTGGACCACCGGAAAGGGAGGTAAATGGGAATTTTGAACATGACCTGCCTTTCCAGTGATATTGTTGTTCAAAATCTCAAAAGCCTTCCAAAAGAGACCTGAATTAAGAAAATATGAAGGATTGGATATGAAATGGAGTGGGAATGCATATCAATATTGAGCACAAGTGGGGTAAAGAGAATACACAGCCAGAAAGGGAGGTCATTGAGAATTTAGAATAGACTGGACCACCGGAAAGGGAGGTAAATGGGAATTTTGAACATGACCTGCCTTTCCAGTGATATTGTGGTTCAAATCCTCAAAAGCTTGCCAAAATTGAGTTGAATTAACAAAATAAGGAGGATTGGATATGAAATTGAGTTACAATGCATATCAAAATGGAGAATGAGGGCTTTCAAGGCAATATACAGTCGGAAAGGGAGGTCAATGAGAATTTAGAACAGAGGATACAGCCGGAAAGGGAGGTAAAAGGGAATTTTGAACATGACCTGCCTTTCCAGTGATATTGTGGTTCAAATCCTCAAAAGCCTGCCAAAATTGACATAAATTAACAAAATAAGGAGGATTGGATATGAAATTGAGTTACAATGCATATCAAAATGGAGAATGAGGGCTTTCAAGGCAATATACAGCCGGAAAGGGAGGTAAATGAGAATTTAGAACATGACCTGCCTTTCCACCAGAACTGCCTTTCCATAGATCCAAAGGTGTGAAAAGAGGTTTTTGCTATGGATGGGAGCTCAAAATGATATCAATATTGACCAAACCAGTGAAAACGAGACATAAACAGAGGTTTTGGAGTGATTTAGGAAGACTGGGTTTCCGGCTGGTTTGCCTTTCCATGAGAAAAAGGGCATGAAAGGCCCAAAACGCTAAGGGAAAGGGCATGCCCTTTCCGGGTGTAATATAGTTAGGGCATGTTTGGGACCAACTTCGCGGTTTTACGCGTTGGTTTCGGAGGAATTTGAGGTTTCGAAGATCTGGAGAGATTCGGGTCATGGGACACCGAGAGCTGACGCTAGCCCGTTTGTACATCATGAGAGTGGATTGTACCCGGTACCAGTTGGGGCAGAGGATATGGCCATTGATCGCGGACAATGGGTGGTCTTCGTCGTAGGCAATTCGTAGCCAAGCTTGGCCAATACCCTTTCGAAGCTATTACCATCGCCCCTGACCGCCTCTGAACGACGAGGCGTTCTCCCTCTTCAGCTGTTGTTGACATCACAAATTGTATACCTGGCTTGCGAAAATGCTCACATTAATCGAAGAAACTGTCACCGTCGAAGATCCCGCGCTTGATTTCACGCTTCCTGGATACGACATCGAGCTGAAGGTGCGTTGCCATCTATTCATATCACCTATGCTTTTTCAAATCACACCCCCAATTTCTCGGTGAATTATATAGCCCTCTGGAAAGGAATCCTTGTAACGATAACCGGTGTCTCATCATACGTCCAGTTTGTCCTCAAGGCTATCCTCGGCTCTGGGAGCACTTTGCAAGCCAAGCCGTTCAGAGAAGGATTTAGCAAAGTGTTCCCGAATGGCGATCGACAGGCTTTCGCTGTGGAGGAGTTGATGAAGTTATTTGGGAATGGGGATGAAGATTGCACTGTGGAGAGTGAGTTTTCTTCTCATGGTATCATTGTTTTCACTTAGCCGCTGCTAACGTGTTTGCAGCTCTCAGCAATCAGCACAACGCTCGAAGCAGACCATGGGTTCAACCCCGAAAGCCGTGCTATCTGGAACCTGTTGGAGATCATGGCAGAGTACGACGCAAGTACGAGGCTTCTCGTCACCAAACGAAACAATCAGATATCTGGAAGATCCTTCCGTCGCGTCTTTCTTCAGTCAGTGCAATGTGTACATTATGAATTCGGCAACTGTAATGTCAACGATGATGAGTGTGGTCCTCACAAATGAATCTTTCTTAAGTCTTGTATCAACAACACAGTCTCAATACATTGAATGCTCCCAATGTGTCCTTCACCAATCGTCCCTACATACATATGTAACGATAGGAATGAGTCCATATACACCCTGATACATTCCATCGACAGTCCTTCCCCAAAAAAGAGCCTCTCAAAATTCAGCCTTTTGCGTAACTGGCACCGTCACAGACGTTTCGGAAGTTTCGCCTATCTTCAATCCGTCCTGTTTGACATCGTCATCTGAGGGTGAAGAATCGTCAATACGTTCATGAAGATTTCATAAGGTGCACGTACATCTACATGTCGTTCGAGATGTCAAAAACGACTGGGAGGATGATAGCAGGGGAGCGTCAAATGAGCAAGTACTCACGAAGACACCTTCCGTCATCGCATCCCTGAACTTCTTTATATCCGCGTTCACGTTGTATCCATCGTGTTCAGAAACGCCCTGCGTCGGCGGTGGACCATCAAGAGGCGGGATGTGTGTGTTGAGGTAGTAGGTAACGAATTGCTGACCTTATTGTCCCTGTGTACCAGTATACAAGGATGGTGTTGGTGGACCTAGAGGCACTGTGCACATCCACAGGCGAAAGCTGAACCTGCTGGTACGGGAATCAGTTTGTCAAAGCTGAATGTGCAGAAGTACCAGACGCACTATGCGTTCCTGGTATGAATGAGGAGGCTTTAGAGGCGGAGAGTATCCCGATGTTGGAGGCGCGACGTATGGAGAAGGAACGTCGCGAACATTAACAGAAATAATGACTCACATATCCTTCACGGAAACCCTCATGCTCCTTCGTACCCTCCTCCATATACTGCTACTAATCCACATCCTGAGACTCAAAGTCTCCCGGCTCTCCTCATCCTAGTGCTTAAGCCTGAGGTATTCGCTATAAATGAACTCAGAAGTCAGCGAGTATCATTGTGGTTGCGCTCATGAGGAAGGTGATGGCAGTTAGTCATCGTTCGTGGCTGGTGAAGATTATTTGCGAAACGGCTTTAACTTTGCTGGTGGATTAATTCATCATTAGACTTTCTTTGGCGACGGAAGACGGAAAAAAAGAGGAAGAAGAACGGAAGAGAGGGAAATGTATCAGAGTTCGGACCGCTTGCGTCTTTATTCCGTTCCGTACTGCCATCAATGGGTTTGCCCTCGCTTGCACCATCCACAACCATCCACAACTTAAACCTAGAATTCTGTGGCTACTAGCAAGAGTACTTGACATATTACAACAGTCAGTCTTTCTTTTCGGTGATTATCTGTCACACATACTGACGTGTCTGCTTCTCAGTTCAATTATTTTTCCAAAGGTTCCGACAACAGTCTCGACGAGGGAGACTTTCGACTGTCACCAAATTAATCTTCTTCAATCTCCTTGCACGCGTGTGGACTGTTAGTGTCGGTATTGAAGCACTCAAGGTGTTGGTACTAGTCACCTTCGGTATACGCTCAGCTTGCTACCACTTCCTAATTCGAAGCTGTTCTAGGGATATCCACCGTATACTCTGATGAATCCTATCGCAAACATGAGTACGTGTTTATTCTCGTGTATCAACATTCTGTTCATGTCAGTCTTGACAGAAATGTCAGGATTTGCGGAATACCGGTAGAAGAAACCCCTGGCATCCTCTGGCGGAACTTCTTTCAGGAGGCCAGTAAGTCGTCGAAGCGGTAAATAGCTGTCATTTCGTTTTTTTTCACCGACACGATTTTCACATAGCATATACTTTGCAGATCAGAGTCTTGTGGAAACGAGTCGGAAACTATCGTGCGCTCAGCTCCGCCCAACAATCCTTGTCGATAGTCGTAGTCATCCATATGTAGTCAATATTGGAGAACAGACAAAGGGATGACGTGGATCAGTCGCTATCGTTTCGTGTATGTGAGTATATTGTCACTTTGTATCCTTCTAACTGACAGACAGTTCCAGAATTCTACCGCCAATATGTCCAACCTCATCTTCTCATACTTCAGCCAACCCTTCGCTTTCAAATCTTATTGCCCAAGTACGCAACGTCGCGAAAATACCATAATCACGCGCGACCCAAACCCTGGTCGTATCTTTTAGCGAAGACGTGACGGAGACCGTTCTATCATCAGTGCCGAGTCCTCAGGATGTCTCGACTACGTGTACGATTGCAGGGTCTCTTCTCACGAGTATGCGACTCCTCGCAAATCTTCGCATAATTCAAGTTGCTCCATGCAAATACTTATCAGAAGATACGATTTTTTAGCCCTATTCTGGTACGTATGCTTCACTCGAATCGCTCATACTCGCTTCTGAGTCTCATCAGGACGTCAAATGAGGTCACGGATTCGATTCTTTTAGGTTGAAATATTGTACTTTGTCAGACCATTTTATTTCTGCGGATATGTATGGTCTATTGGGTTGCATTCGTGTTCTTTCATCTAACGTCTGTGCTTCATCTAGGTCATGTAAAAATATTATCAGTGTGCTCGCTAGTTCAGGACTGTTGCTAGCCGTTGCGCGCTAACAATCGAATAAATCCTACTGCAATTGAAGTTTCGTCCGCCGAAAACTGTACTCGATATCATCGAACGTTCACAACAAGAGTCACCATTATCCTACTTAGCTGCACCACCAATTCGTGCCTAGCTGATATCACAAGATCCTGCCCCTTCTGCCTCGAGGCGGACTCTTCTTCCACCAATCTTTGGGTTAATCGAGTTCTCTGACGTGCTCACACCTCGAGTAGGGAATTTAACCGACCTATGCTGGTTTGAGTATATCACTGTCTGTCTTGAATCGCAAGGGCGTTTTTCTTCCAATTCCAACCGCGGATCGGCCATGGATAGAGAGGTACAAACCCGCCTGTGGAACTCGCAATTTCGGCTAGCTTTTGTGGTCTGCATTTGCGAAGATTTCCAAATTCATTCCGTTCCGCTCCAACGTGCAGTGCTATATGTGGATGGATTCCTTCAGGTTATTGGACGTCATTGGCTTCCGATCAAGCTCTACCTATACCAATGCTTAGAAGATCATTAGAATTAGGCGTGAGGCAGAGAACGTTCCTAGTAACTGTATTTCCCTATAGTGAATCTGCTGTGTCTTTTTCACCATCTCCATGCCATGCGTATCATCTTAGCGTTGCTTCCCCCTCCTAGAACCTTGATAACTCCTATCGGGTGTTCCGGCTCATTTGGATGCTATCTGCGACCCTGCACGACCTCGACGTCTCTCGTTGGACACGCGTTTGAGAATCCACAAAATTCTCAAATATGTATATCAAAAACCTTGGCTGCTCGACTGTAGACTCGGAACGTGTCTTTCTCCGCGTCCGAGTAGTCAGTGTTCACTTACTATGTGGTGAGTTCATCTATCTTGATACCCGACCTAGCTCATTGACCAAACCGGGAACGACTAGTTACCCCCGTTCGTACGCGTGGAATTGTACATTCTAATTGGGCATATATCCCGTGTGTTTCGTCGAGAAGTAGTGTGAAGCTGACAGTGTCTTCGAGTTGTTACTGTTCTAGGGGGTCCATTTCATTCAGCATTGGACATGCGGATGGAGCGGAATCTTCAATCGGAGTGCGGAGGGGGCGGACAAGTTTTAGAGCCTCTCATAGTGCAAGTCCTGTCTCACCGCTCAGCCACCCGTCCGATTGTCGTTGAACCATTCCTTGATGGTCATGACATCAATTGCAAGACCGCTAACTGGTGTCCACCGCCATCTCCCATGTATTAGTATTGCTGGCTAGTACTATCAAGTTAGAGTGTGCCAGCTTCCTTACTGGCTCTTCCGCTTCGTACGACGGTGTTTGCTTCCTCAGTGAAGATGGTTCACTTTCAAATTTCACCGGTCTGAACGTAATATCGAGGTGCGTTAGGGTGCGTCGCTGACTCCGATTCCGATAGGCGTAGAGTTACTACCACTTCCACCAGAGAGTCTAGTATTCTCCAGTTTCGGGCCAGGTCACGGTGATTCGCTCGCATGCTATGCGGATCATACTTAGGGAGGTACCCCGAGATTCTACATCTCTTCTCTAGGTTGGAACGTAGGTGACAAGCGAGCTTGACGCGATATTACAATCTGAACCATGCTGAGCGTTTGGGCCATGGGATGAACTCATACATGATTCCAGCCTGTTTGATAGTCTTGGAACAGTCAGGTATGCTTGTCAGAGTGTTGTTTTTACTTTGCGAAGGAGCGTCAGTCAAAAGTCCCTTCAAACAATGATGGACTCCAGTTGAGGAAACTATTTGGTATGTGGCGGATGAATCATGGAAGTGATTCGAGTCAAAGTCGACGTCTGAAGTTTGAATCTTACGATTGAATTTACCGGCCAGCCCTACGACCACAGTCTTGATAATGACGGTATAGGTCGAGATCTGAACAAAATTTGGACAAAGATCTATGGGGTAGTACGGGAGTTCGAGTGGCGTATTGTATTACATTTTGTGAGATGAATAACTGAAAGGTACGAGTGATTTACTGGGATGGGATTTGCGTTGAGGACAGACACAGATTCTTATATTCTTGTGGGTGTATTCTTGCTACAGCAGGCCTGGAAGAAGAACGAGGTATTCAGGAGTTGAGGATCATGAATCCATATTCTGAAGGTCGGACTTCTATACAAAAACGCCGAATAGAATACTGCAGGTGAGGGTGCCTAATGTATCAGAAAGAAAATTTCTCGTCCGCGAGAGTCTCCCCTTTGCAAGTGCATCCGGAAAATTCGGGGGTCGTAGACAAATTGTTGCGATATGGTTTTGAAAGATATATAGTCCAATATGATTGCAGAGTTCGGATTCTACGAGAGCCGCTATGTATATCTATACGGTGATTTAGGACGGAGAAGAGAAGAACTGTGGCGGCTGAGTGTCGCGGACGAAAAGCCTGGGAAAAAACGTGTCTCTTGAAAAGGAAGCTGAATATCTAAAAGCGGGATTTGAACTTTTTTATACGCGCCCTTCCAGATGCGGAGATTGAGATCGGGACTCTCTCGACGACGATCCAAGACAAACATGTCATGTAGATGTATATAAAGGTACTCTACAGAAAATTCGACTGTCCCATTCTTCCTTTTCGTCCTACAACCACCATCGCGGTCACCTTTCCCTCCTCTACCTTCAAAAACTCGTTATCCATGTCTTCTGTCACTATCATCCACAGCATCGCCGTAACTGCCCTCTTAATCATCATCGCGTTCGCCATCCTCAAAGGTATCTATAACGTCTTCTTCCACCCCCTCAGCGCAATCCCCGGTCCTTGGTACGCCGCAGCCTCCGATTTATGGCTCACAACACACGTTATACGACTCGAGCAGTGCAAAATCGTACAATCACTTTTCGAAAGATATGGCCCGATTGTCCGTGTCGGCCCCAACAAGGTGTTTTTCAACGATTTAACGTCTACGAAAAGTATCTACTCTGTGCACAAATTCGATAAGAGCGAGTATTATAAAAGTCTTGTTACGTGCGTATCGCTCCATGTTGACTGCTAGCTCGATATTTACCAATTCCTCTTAGGAACAACAATGATCATGCGTACGCCTTTTTCCTCCTATATGCGTGTCCCTACATTCAATCGTTGCAGCATGACCACACTCGAACACGCACCACACTCCGTGCGTCGCAAAGGGTACGCTCCTCACTACGTCCCCGTCAACCTCGCCAAGTTTCAGCCTGAGATGCACGAGCCTATGCTCGAGCTTGTTAACGTAAATTTTTACTTTCGGCAATTAGTAGGTCCTGCTAACGTCTGCTGTAGAACGTTACCAACATTGGCGGCAAGGCGTCGATTGAATGCCTTACCCTCTTCCGAAATCTTATGGTCGACGTTCTTGTTTCTACGTCTTATGGTTATCGTATCCATGCTGTCAAGAAATGGGCGACTGATAACGAGGACCCTCTGTCGACAGCTATCAGTGACTTCCCCAAACGTGGCATCCTGGTACGTCGACTAGAACTTCTCAAATACACTAAGCTCACGTCGTTGTACAGCGGAGCGTTGTTCCCTCCTGGGCTTGGAATGTCGTCTGTCGCATCCCTGTTGCTCGATGGCGGCAATTATGTGATTCGGACAAGATTATGGCTGAGGTAGGCTCTCAACTTCTAGCGTTCCGGATGAATCATCAATACGCTTCTAGTTCGTCAGCGAACGTGTTTACCAGGCTCGCACCGAAATCAATTCTGGCAGGCTCGACGAGTCTTCTGAGACAACCCCATTGCTCCACCGTCTTCTCAAACACCGATACTCCTCAACTGGCCAGATGATGCCCGACAGCGACATTATCTCCGAGGCTATGGGACATATGTATGTCCTTTATTCTTTCATTTATTCTCCCTATTAATGTCCCCAGGATTGCCGGTTCGGACACCTCTTCCATCTCCTTGTCCTACTTCCTCTGGGAGTTGTCTCGTCGTCCTGATGTCGCCGCAAAACTTCAAACTGAACTCGACGAGGCCATGCCCAACGCCCACGTCATCCCTGACATATCTGTTCTTCAAAGTTTACCTTACCTCAACGCGTTTATCAAGGAAGGTTTGTACTTTACCCTATTCATATGTCGATCATTCGTTTTAACTTCTTCAAGGTCTCCGAATTTACTCTGCGGCTCCCAGCCCTCTCGAGCGCGTTGTACCCCAGTCTTCGACGAAGTCAAGTGAAGGCTTCGACCTCATGGGCTTCGAACTTCCCCCGGGTACCGTTGTCGCTACGCAGGCGTGGTCCATGCACCGTAATGAGACCATCTTCCCTTCTCCAGACACCTTCTCGCCTGAACGTTGGCTTGAGACAGACCAGCCCGGATCCGCCGAGCGACTGGCGCGAATGCAACAAAATATGATGCCCTTTGGCACAGGCTCGCGAGTATGTGGTGGTCAGAATCTAGCTCAAATCATGCTAAAGGTCATGGTGGCGGCTATGGCAAGAAATTTTGACGTCGTCGCACCTGCTGAAACCAATGAAAAGAGTATGGATATTAAAGACAGCTTCGTAAGTGCTTTTTAAGTTTCACTTTTCTTTACTGACTTTCATTCAGGTTATCTTCCCTTCCGCCATGGAGTGCAAACTTATCTTCAACCCTCGTTCCCTGTGAACGGGATACCTTCTTCCTTACTCTCGCAATTTCAGTCCGCGTTCCTTCTTGGATATATTATACCCCTCCTTTCTTATTCTTTTGGTTGATCGTTGTGTTTTGGGTTGTTTCATGCTTTTTATCGCTATCCGCTATCCCATATGTTATTCCATTTGCTATCCCATTTGTTATCGTCATACTATGGCATTCCGTCCTAAATCGTTTTTGCTATCGTCTTTCCTATTTTGTATCAACAAACGACTGACTTGTTGCGTCCCCGTCTTATTATCACCTGCCTGACACCTCACCCCTCTTTTTCAGATCTTCGCAGTATTACCCCTCTACGATCTCCAGCTCGTCCCCTATGAAGCGTACCTTATATTGGACTAATAGTCGAGAACTACACAAGCTTCCATCGTGACTCTGTGATTAATTCATTCCATCACTCCTCGACCTTTCCGTACCTTACATAAACTTTAATGTGCTGCACATCTTCAACCTCTGTCCTTTGACCTTGCACCCCTTCCTGTTTCTTCATGTTGTCATGAAATCTGCATCTCATACTCGGAAATCACTCTGGATTTGGTTTTTGTAGCGACCAGCGTACCATACGTATACAAACATTTGTATATGTCCTGCACTCTCTGTATCATAACTATGCAATTGACAGATTTTATTTGATCTCAGTCCTGTGGGCTTTCGAGCTTGAGTCTGAGATCAGAGCTTTCAATACATAGGCTTACAGCTAGGAAATGCGAATTAAGCTTTCAGAGAGGCATGGGTACAATGATGCATGTAATTTCGGTACCATGCGCTTTCCTAGCTGAAGGCACATCTGACGGATGATACCTCTCAAAAATGAACGTCTGACCTTTCCGGAACCTTCACAAGGGTGCATAATGCTCTACGTACGTAGAAAAGTGTAGTAACCTTGATGGAATGATTTCGGTATCCTCTTACCTACAAAAACCTACAAGCACCATACTACACATGTCAGATTTCCTTTACTTGATCAACAGCAACGAAGCTTCGAACTCCAACAGTGGCTCGATGGATCTTACTGTATATCTGAAGGATGACTTGATACAAGCATATCGAGAGCGTGGCAGAAGACTGCGGCGCTCAATTTAACCCATATAAGCATTGATTGGGGTGATAAGAACGAGGTAGAACAGAACATGAGGATGCGGTCCTGGAGATGAAGAATTAGACCTCCTTCATTTTCAGGAACGAAAGATAAAACTTCGAAATACGGGATACGCCTTTAGATGTCAGTTCATCCACATTAGCATGATATTATGGTCGATGTTGGTCAGGATCAAAGTTCAAAACCTTCACTTGATCGAGTCTTGATCAAGGTCATCGTAGCTTCACCTGCATAACCGTCTCGTAGTCAACGAACAGAGTGAAAATTACAGCTTTGACCTTGCGTTACCATCACGTGCTTGGATAATCCCACATTAGTAACAGTTCGCGTACTTTTGGAACAAGTTTCTTCAGGTTTCTTTTCTTATCCATCGACGTGTTTTCTCTTGGAATATCACCTCGTTTGCTACCTCGACTTCTCATCGACATTTGAGTCTATTGATCTACTCTGTAGACAGCTTTGAACATGCCGCACCCAGCTTTAGCAGGTAAGAGGCTCTTCGGTTCAAACAATAATCCACTTACATGAAAACTACTAGAACCTTTCTACTGGCGTGAGGGAAGAGTGAGAGCAATGCTTAGCACTACAACCGATCCCCAACTTCGCGAAGTTTTGAAGCGGTCCAACACGCAAACCGAAATCGCTATTGAAGCCGTGAACACGCAGCTCAAGCTTTGGAAAGACACGGTCGAGAATGAGGTCTCCAGCACCGTTACGTGTCAGATCCTAGGTTTGGACATCGTCAACCTCACTTTCAAAGGATATATTGGCGAAAATGTCGAAGAAGACGTTGCAGTGATCAAGGAAGGAGTAGTGAGTTTAGAAAATGCTGATGAGCTCCTGAAGAAGGGTCTCTGGTCCTGGTCAAAATTACCGTATCCAATTCGACGCGTCGGAAGCAGTTTGCCGTATAATTTTGAGGCGAACGGAGGCGAACAGGGACCCACGAAGAGGACAAAGGTATTGGAGAATGATGAACTTGTAGATGATGTCGACGAATGGTGAATTTTATTTGTTAAAATTCCTACTCTTACTATGTATACATATTCACCTTATTCCTTTTAGGGTCCTTCGTAACGAAGCTTTTCTCCGTACTCTCTCTAAACCCCACGCAGCATCTGCTCCTGTCTTGAAGCCATGGTCAGTTGGCCTAGTTCGTCCCTCCGATCTTCCCAAAACCCTACATAGTTGTACTCCAGTTACTTCCCCAAACGACTCTACCTACATTCATGCTCTCAAAATCTCTCGCTTCCCTATCAATGCTTTACCAGGATACACTGTACTTGCCGACAAACGACCTCCAACAATATTCGTTCAACCTTCGTCCTCAGATTTCAAAGGTCGTTTCGATTGTATGTCGGGAGGTCTCCTTGCAGGTCTCGAATGGAACAATGTCTTCGTTGCTGGAGGCCTCGTACTGGGTGCGCTCCTGACACCGGACATCCCTCCGACCGCTACTGTACCTGCCTTGGAACGACTTTATCTGAATGAACCACCAGAGTGGATATCATCAGACATCGATCTCTATATCTACGGCTTGGACGTTGAGTCCGCCAACGAGAAAATCAAACATATCGCGGACGTCTACCAAAGCAATTTAGGTTCAGCCGATGCACCGTTTTTGGTCGTACGAAACTCTCAGACGATCACATTGTATTCAGAGTGGCCTAAGCGACGAGTACAAATCGTGTTGAAGTTAGTCAAGAATCCGAGGGAGGTGTTGCTCAATTTTGATCTCGATATTTGTGCTGTTGGATGGGATGGTAAAGAAGTGTGGATGTTGCCTCGCTTTGTACGGGCATTGGAGAGTATGTTTACGCGTCTTTCGGCTGGGCGACTCTTTTCTGATGTAATTTTATAGCTGGAACGAATGTATTCACTATGGACCTTGTGAATGGACACTACCTCGGCGATAGGAAAGCGACCCGCGACAAACGGTATGTGTTTTTTGTTCCTGTCGTTTTTCCTATTGTCTTAGTCGCTTTCCGTAGTGTCTTCAAATATGCCAAACGCGGTTTTGGTATCCGCATTATCCCACTCTATATAGGCTACCTCTCGCCCTACCAATCTGCTGACTCCCAAGCGCTCCTCGACAAAATCTCCCTAGGCGAAGTCCTCTTCAAACCTCCTCTCTCGATGACCCGAATTGCTGATAACGCACGGACGTGGACGCGGGAAGTAGTCAATCGGTATATTCAAAACGGTCAAAAGAATGTCTCGTTGACTTATCACTGGCCGGAGGGTCGATGGCCAAAGGTCAAAGGCAAGAATGGGTTACCTGTGTTCTCACACGCGATGCTGGAAGGGTATGGCCAAATCACTTCAGAGCCACTTGGAAGGAGCTGTTTAACGGGTTTTGGTTTATTGATGAGGCATGTTGCACTATGGGAGCTGGAGAGGGACGGAATAATTGAGTGAGTGATTCATTTTTTACTTTTTTGGTCTCTCATCTGGGTCTTTCCAGGATCTATGAGCATATATTTGCTGAAGACGCTTACAATAATATCGGACAAGTTTCATACGACGATACACCTGCGTAAGTCCTTCTGCCTATGTTCTTTTCTTCATCTGAACTCTCTAACTTGTCCCTTCTCTGACGATAGATACGAATGGGATGAAAATTTCTCTGTGAAGGCCTTCATCGAGGCGATAGATAGCTTTAATCACCGTGAAAAAGACGCTATGCAATCCGAGTGGGACAACATCGCTGGCATAGGTGCCGAGAAATTCGAATTTCCAGAGGTCAAACGCGTCACCTATTCCCGCTCATTCGAGGAAATATTCTCTTCCAATAATGATATGGCAATACCGATATTCACTACAGGAGGATTTGTACACTTTGCTAATGATCTTGTAACGAAGGCATTGCAGGAGTCGAACTTGGATAAGATTTCAAACATGAAACAAACACCTATTGCTGTCATTGGCAAAGATGAAGATCAAGACGTTGTTATTGCTCTTTGGCACCTGGATAGCATCTTGAATTGGCAGATGGTTGATAGACGGATCGACGAGTGCGTATCAATTTGCGAATTCAAGTATTCTACATAATCTTGATTCTTCCTTCTGTTATTTTCTAGAGTTCGCGAAATCCTATGGGCATTCCATCGTGCCAATGAACGTTTATACCATCCCGAACCCGAAAACCGTGTCAATAATCTCAAAACAAACATCTCGAAGCGTGCCATTAGGATTTCTGAAAAGGACGAGAATCATGCGTTTGTGAGGTGGGTAGGGAGGGAGCCATATCAAGACACGACGGATGTGAATGGTATTTTCCTGGTAGAACGCAGGTCAAGGAATCGTGAGGACAGTGAGGATGAGGATGCCGAGGGCGAGGAAGACGAAGATGAACAATGATAATCCACTGTTCGAGGCTTGTGAGCTTTTTCAACTTAAACTACACCTTGCCCATGATTTTCCTGCGTGTATCTATAGAGATTCATGGTGTGTATAGAATACTGTATATACTAATCTAATCTACATATCTACAAATGGGTGTCATACGTCATTTATTTCGAGACTTGCCTACCAACACCCATCTGATAAATAAACCAAAATGACTACCCTGCCTACTGCTACCCGCATCGCCGTGGCACTTGGTCTGACCGGATCTGCTTGGTGCTCTGGTATGTAACGATAAAACTTAGTCTCGCGAATTCTCTTTGATACGAGCGGCTTTAATAAACAGGAGCAATAATGTCCTGCTCATTCATTGCTGTTTCCGCACTATTGGATCCCAGCATTCCCTCTGCTGCGACTGGTCACACATCTATCATCTGGCAAAATGTGTATAAACGAGGAAAAGAAAGCATCCCTTTCGTCGCTATGTCTACCTCTGCAGCCTTCGTCTATGCTGCCTGCACCGTTCCCAATCCTCTTTCCTTGGAGTCGATTCAACGTGCAAAAAATCTTCTCTTATTTGGTGGACTTTTCACAGTTGGGATCATCCCATTCACATTGATGGTGATGAAATCTACGAACGATGCGCTACATGCAAAGGCCGCGGCAGTACAACGAAGAAGTAAGGAAGGATCGGTGACTCTGTTGGACGATGGGACGAAGGAGTTGGCGCGGACATGGAATATCTTGAACTTCATAAGAGGACTCTTCCCACTAGCAGGAGCCTTCACGGGAATTTGTGCTATCTTATTCTGATTGGAAAATATGTACAAGGCTCAAAAAATCGCTCCGAACTCGAGTGCAGCCACTAGTCTTCTAGATAGAAAATCTCGTCTCTCCCCTTACCTCTTCTACTTCGCCCTATCCAAGCCTGATGATGTTCTGTTTAGGTTTTTGTGAAGGCTTTTACTCTTCACTGCTTTACGAAATCTATGATATCGTTTGTGTGCAACCTAGCCCGGTATAAATCCGAGACGAGATGTCCTGATACTGCTGGTTAATTGCCATGTCGTATATCATCCGTATCCGATTCATCCTTAGTTTGAAAACCACGTTCAAAGATCCTAATCAACGCTCAGAAGTCTTTCGCGCCGCTGGAGTAGAAACGAGAAACATCTATGAGTCTCTTTTGGGGAACTGCAGTAGCTGGTGCAATGAGTTGGTATAGAGAAAGAATGGAACTGGGATGTTCAGTTTCGGAGACGGAGTAGTATAAGTTCGAGATCTGAGAGAACGAAATTCCGAGAGGCTCTCGACCCGAGAATGAGTCGACGAGTTCGGGGAGGGCGGAGGCCATACGTAATCGACGGGTAGCAATTATGTATATATCACAAAGCCCAGCAAGAAGGCTACAGTGTCACCTTTTGGGATGGATCTGAATGCAAATTCAACAAGGTTACAACAGAAGGAGCTTGGAAACACACCATAAACCGGGCGCGCTCCCCACGATTCAACCTCTTTATCATACTACCCGTCTAGATATGGGCGGAATCCAACTACCCTGCTTACTCTATCATCAAGAGAGTAGTAGAGAAGAGGAAATTCTAGAAAGGAGTGTGCCCGTCAAGTCTGAGAATAATCCTGTTCGTCGGAAGCACTCAACAGAAAGCACGGGCCTATGTCGGGATGAGAGACAGGAATACGAGAAGCCACAGTGGTAGGACCACAGAAAATTCGAGCCTTGGCGTTGATCTTTGAAGGTCTTTCAATGTTCTAGCGTGACATCTGAACCTAGAACATGTAATTAGGCGACATGAGATCAGGAAGATTGAGAAGATATGGAATATGGCTGCAAATTGGAGTGCTCCCTCAGTGGAAGGTAATCGTTTCTTTCCAATTAACGTACCCCGTTGGGGACACACACCTTGCTTGCGTCTGTTCACTGCTACGGTGAGGGAATTTGGTGTGAAACAGCAAGCAGAAAAGCTTAGGGATGATGCATTATGGTGAGCCAGGTGAGGAAATTTGTTGTGAGCTGGTAAAGTGCAGGGGTGGAGTCGGAGTCTGTTAGATGAAGGGAAAGTAAAAGGGCTGCATCCGGATCCCTTTTGCCCTATAAGGCGTAGATGTAACCCTGTTCCGCCGTCGGATCGGACAACGACAACTTTAAAAGGAAATTTTGCACGGGCGCTCGAGGTTATGGATGTTCAATAACCATTGCAAGCAAGGTGATGATACGGGATAACGAATGCGATCAGATTCCGAGTCTATATGGTTGTTCAAACTTCAGAGACTAAGGAGCTAAGATCGTCCATTATTTTGCCAGAAGGGTCCAAGAAGGCTCGACAAGGTTATCCCTGATATTGCTCCTGGTTGCTGTGCTATGTATTTTGGGCCAGTTCATTGATTGTAAGATGGAAAACATGACTCAAGTAACGAAGCGCCCAAAGTTGAAAACGGCGCTTCTTTCTTAAATTCTTTCGTTTTTTTTCCACCTCGGTGAAATTCAGGACTAAGGACGAAGTATCTACACTAACATATACATCCAGGAGGTTGACCTTACAGGACCAGGGACAGTGTTATTTCACATCATCATTTCAAAACCCTCCCGTCGCATCAAATCTTAAAAACTTATATAAGTAGATCAGCGTGAATTTCGCTCTTCCCTTCTTTCCTTTCCTTTATTCTTACTTTCGACCGTCAAACTCTCTGCTGGTCAGAGAATATTACGAGCATAGAACAGGCCCCAAGCCATGACTCGATATCTTTTGATTTTTGTCTCACTTGTTATTTCGACTATGACACTTACGCATGCCACACCAGTCCTCCGTCGTGCACCAACGGAAGCTCCATTCATTGAAGGAGTAAACTCAAAAAGTCAAATTTTGGGAGCACACGATGCAAGTCTTCCTTCTTTCAGACCCTTCGAATAATTAACGCCTTTATTTCCCTGTATCAGCGTCCATGGATCTTGGGGTTGTATGGCGCAGATGTTGATTACCGGCGAATGTCCTCCTTCAGTAGGTGAACTCTATGTTGCGTGCTCTTCTAATGCTGAATCCTTCCATTGTATGTGTTTCAGAAACAAAATTTCATGGTGTAAAAATTGGCAACGAAATATCGACCCCGGATCGCGAAGATCGTCGAACGCAGCTTGCCATTGTCAACAGTGAAAAGGGCACTTTAGCAAAAGGCTTTTTGTACGAAGAGGACCGTGACAAATGGGAAGCCACTGCGGAATTAAAAGCTCTCGAAGCTACTTCAAAACGGACTGACGTTGCTGCGGGAACAATTAGCGATTGGCCAGTGCCTGGTGCGAGGCGGTTTGTTATCCTGATGAAGAATGTAGGGGGAGAGGACCTCTTCGAATCCAATTGTTATAAGAAGGCTGCAAAGGATCCGAAAAAGCTCGACAAATTGAACAAGCAGCTTTACGCCAAATTGCACGATGTGGTTTACCAGTTTGCCAGCGGAAAGCAGATACTGCATGCGTATGTACATTTGCTATGGCCTTAACCTACCAAGTGATTCATTTTCAATTCTATGTAGCGACTTTCACACTGGCAATCTTCGTATTACCTTTAGTAGTCTGTCCTGTAACATCAAGAGTATCGCTCTCATCGACTGGGGTTATCCTGGTATCTTCACTGTCGAGCGCGGCCTATCTCGGGAGGATTTCGTACGCTGAGGAAACTAATGGTCAATGCCATGTATACTAACTTGTTTGGTACAGGACCCATGGTTTCTTGCACGCTACAAAAATCGCCTATACGATGAACCCAATGAAGCCAATTAGGAACCTATGCACGTAGAAATGAGTCAATTTCTCGTCATTATTTTCACAGTAGCTTAACGTTAACAGTGGTCTTGCAGAACTCTAAGAAGTACTGTTACTCGTGAAAGGCATGGACCATGTTGTGGTGTCTTATGGTGGAGCGGAAATTTCGGTAGTGTAGGCCTACGTAACAGACTGCAAAGACAGAACTCAGGAATGAGCACGATACTGGGGTATTAAGGTGTAACATCTCTTTCTCATATGGTCAGTCGATTTTCATGCGGATTACATGTGAGTCGCGAGACTCGGATGTTAGTAGTATGTACATACTTCAAATTATTAGGGAATAACGATAAAATCAAGCAGGATCACAAAAACTAAGAGTAGCGTATTCAGAACGATTACTACGCAGACTTTTTTGGTGGGGCAAATCGGACCTCCTTTCGCACCAAACGATTGGTCAACGTCGCAAACGCACAGACAAACGCTCTTCCGAGCAGCCTTCGAACCACACGATACGGAGAGACGGAAAGAATTTCTGGGCCTACGAACACGCTTCTGAACTCTTGATAGCTTGTGGTTTTCGGAGAAAGTACGTGTCCTTTTGTACAATACGGTGCAGGGGCTGACACCTGTAGGATCAATTATTCTTCGACACATCGTTCGATCGGAAACGAGAGGGCGGCATGTAATGGTGGTGCATTTGGTGCGTAAACGAGATGGCATGGGGAACAAAAAATGGGTCAGAAAAATAAAAAGCTAAACACGGACAGAAAACAGGTTTGGGTTTTCATTTGCACTTCATTTGAAGGACTAATTTTTCTCGATCTCTTAAACAACATCGTAAGAAAAGTAAGACAAAAAACAACAAAACAAGTGTCCCTGCCAGGAGTCGAGCCTGGGTCTCCACGGATGTACTAAGTTGCCACAACGTGATGATCTAACCACTAATCTACGGGGACCTTAGGCTTTGCTTTGGACCACCCCCCTAGAGGATTACTTTCAACTTCAAATTCAAAGACAAGGAAGGAGATCGCAGTTGGTAGATGTTACAGTAGATGTTACGACGAGAGCGAACAATTCGCAGCAGCCCCTTTAAAACATCATGATAAGCGCCATATGATATATCATGGTACGAGTTCCTCTTTCTGATGGCGATACATACTACCAGTGACCACAGCTCCAAGTCTTCCTGCTGCCCAAGAGCGCTCGAAGATTAGTGCACTTAAGGAGAAGGTCGGCAAGAGTGTACTGTTGCGTCTCGGAGGATGATCGTACATCGACAACAGCTCCGTTCAGAGCATTAGGATATAGGCGATGTTGGAGAGGGTACCGTTGACCGCAGAAAGTCTTTCGGTGAAGATGAATGGGACGGGACGACTGCTTAGGGACTGAGCCTGAGGGGAGAAGGTTGTGGTTTTATCCAAAATGGCCTGAGTCACAGGGTTCAAACCAGCAAAAAGCACGACGCACAGTGAATTCCCTAAGTAGTCAATGATGGTGGAGCATTTCTATTCCGTATTCGACGTCCGAGTTTTAATCTGACGTGTTCGTTGGTAGAAACCTTGTGGAGCTTGATATGCGGAGACATGAGTAAGGAGAATCTGGATATCTAAAGTTCAAATGAGTATATCAGAAGATAATCGAATGATAGTGAAGGGACGGACTACAAAAATCGGGTTTTGAATTTTCCAATTGATTCTTGGAAAATGCCTTGTCTTCCTCAACGTCTAGCCAAGAGGATCTTCTCTCTAGCGGCAGGAGACAGATAATCACTTGACGGGGTTACGGTGTCACGGCGGCTCCAGATTGTGCTCGACCGGGGGCGAAGTGCAGATTTTGAGGTGCGATCATCGAACACATGTGATGGCCATCGTAAATACGTAGATCCATCCTTGAAAGGTATCACAGCGAATGGGGAGATCAGGAGCGACCGCTTTCAAATTTGCCTGAGTGAATAGAGGAGTCCGGGAGACGAAGGTATCACAGGCAAGTCTTGCCTTAATACTGTCTGTTGGAGAGTAACAAATCAATGTCAAGTGACAGGTTATCAATTGCGGAGAAAACGCACCATCACTCTGTCCATCCTCCCGTGTGTACGCACAAGGATGTCCTTCGTCCGAGACCCATTAGCATCCTTCCCAAAGACGAGCTCCTGCGGCGAATGTACCTTCCAGAGGTATAATGCTGGAATAAGATTCCATGTCGCACGGGATGTTGTTAGTCATCTGTGTAACGGTAGAACGCACGCACTCGGACGCTAATGGGGTTCGGTAATTATATAAACCTCAAAAAGATTCTTGCTGTGAACAACAAGCGATAACGTTAATGTAGTAACACATAGATTTAGGAAAAAATGGACAAATCCGGATTTGAACCGGAGACCTTTCGCAAGGCTGGATCGGTTCAAGAGTGCAAAGCGAACGTGATAACCCCTACACCATATGCCCATGTAATTGCTACCAACCTCAGTCATCACATCAGTCTAGTACCGAGAAATCAATGCCCTTCGGACGTGAAATATAACTACATATCTAACGATGACTGGTGAATGTGTGAATAAGTGAAATATTATAGAGATATCAACACGTACCCTGGTGGACTAACAGATTGGGACGGGAAATAGTTTGGAGGTCGGGGTTTTAACGGTGAAGCGACGATTGGGAAAGGATGCCTAAGCCAAAGATACTGTCTGTACCGCATATACGACCAAGTGTGACCATTGGCAACGTAATAACGGCAGTTCCAGTAACAATTGTTCTAAGATGCGATGTAAACTGCAGAGGACAAGCCAAAAAAGAGGAAACCCAATACCTCCAAACTGGTTCACCCGTGAGGACTACACGAATCTTATTGCCCACTTTTCCTGCATCGCAAATAAACAATAGAGAGGCTTCTCATCGACCGGGAATGATTTGCGCAGACGAAATTCATGAATGAGCTGGTGAGGAGAAGGAAACCTCGGCAGATCGGAACGGATCCGAATTCTTTCGGCAAGTTCCTCGGTGTTTGAGGCTGATCTCAGCTCGGTGTATCTCTTCTCCTCAAACTTATAAGAAAGCTTCGCATTGGTAGAATATTTTACCTGAATACATAAACCATAATCGGCGTTTTCTACATATCCTTCGGACATTCACAAAGATGGGATCAGGGCTCCGGAATAATAACGTGTTTGTGACGCATCTGTTCTGGATAAAAACCCGCATGGTTGATTTACTTACTTTTTACTTTCTTTCTTTATAGCCACTCCGTCCCATGGCAAGATCCAGCCGTAGAATGCTCCTACCTTACGCTCTGCTTCTCCCCGGACTTTTCTGGTTTTCCGCTGCCGTATACACACCAATACGTGAATATTCTGGGACGGATTTCTTCTCAGAGTGGGACTACTATGGGTACATTGACAACACGACCTGGGGTGAGCCGCAGTGCGCTGTGGTTGTTTAGAATACCAATTTCCACTCAGGGAACGTTACATACGTCGATGAAAGCACTGGAACGTCGCAGGGACTGACGTATATTGATCCAAACACCGGACATGCGATAATCAAGGTAGATAATACGACGAACATTGCTGCTGCTCCAACGGTTAACAGGAATTCAGTACGTAAATCATTTTATCAATCCTTCATATCAGTACTCATTCTGGTTCTTGCAGGTCAAAATCACCTCAAAGGACGCCTATCCCATTGGTAGTCTCGTCGTAATTGACGTGTCGCACATTCCGTATGGTTGCTCAGTAAGTTCTCACCTACCCTTCTATCATTCTTTCTAAGGATACCCAGGTCTGGCCTTCGTTCTGGATGCTCGGCACCGACCTTCTCTGGCCCCTCGCCGGTGAAATTGACATCATCGAGGCTATCAACAACCTCGGTTCAAACCAATACGCCCTCCATACTACTCCCGGATGTTACTTGGCGGCAAACTCGGTCCAAACTGGGAATACCATCGAAACGGATTGCTCGACAGGTCAAGGATGCTTGGTACAAGAAACGAAACCAAACAGCTTCGGAAGCGGGTTCGCACAAGCGGGTGGTGGTGTTTTCGCTACGCAGCTAGATGTTAGTGGGATATATATGTGGTTTTGGCCGGTGAGCATCGTACCTTTATCTTATAATACTCCAGATTGAACTAATTAGCCCCGACGTTTGCTAACGTTCTCAGCGCTCGAGTCTTCCTGTATCAATATTACAAGCTGACAGCGCTTCAACCATGAACCTGACGGATTGGGGCACACCTACCGCGTCGTATCCCGCTAGCGCGTGTAATATCACGCAGTACTTCCAACCCCAACAGCTCGTGCTTGATATAACTCTTTGTGGCGTATGGTGGGTTCTTCGTATTTTTATCTCTTTTCCAGATCATCTGTTGACGACAGTTTGTGTTGACGATTACAGGGCAGGCGTGCCGTCTATCTACAACTCAACAGGATGTTCAGGTCAATGTGTAAGAATGCCCTCTTTTGTCCGTTCTTGTTATTGCCCCGGAAGTTCTGTCTGTCATCCCTCATATCCCAGTTCCTTTTGCATTCCGAATTCATGCATCCTCCAATTACTAATGACCCTTGTTTTCCGACCGTATATCCAGATCGACAACGTCATTGGAACCGGAAACCCAATCTACAACGAGGCATATTGGGATATTACCTATATTCGAACGTACCTCGCCACCACGACTACTACCACCGATACTGCGGGAAACTCGACATCATCTCCTTTTTCATCGTCGTTATCATCTGTTTCCACATCGGCTTTGACGTTCTCGCCGAGTGTAAGTAGCACCGCTGGGTCCGGTACAAACACCGTTAGTGCTAATTCAGTGGCGGCGGTCTTCGCCTTTACTGGTCGCTTGACGTGGATACCTTGGTCAACCGTTCCGATCTTCTTGTGGTTTGGTGCTTGGATTCTTTGTTTATGATCCTCATGTTGGTACATGTCCTCACGTTTATGTCATGACGAACATTGTTTGGTACGCTCAAACTATAATGTATATATATCTTATCAACGGAGGTCATTAGTAAATGAAAAAGACAAGGGCTCGATTCAGACGTTCCCAGCGAATGCTGATTACCTTATTCAAGCTTTAGGTTGAGGTCTTTCGCCTCCCCAAGATAATGCTAATTAATCCTTTCCTTTGAGCAGGGACTTTGGGCTCGCCTTTATTCTCTTTCTAAACCTTGCGATCATCATTGCAATGCTGCGGGTATATGCTTACACATCAATATCCGTTACACTTTTGTTGTATTTAGCTCAACGAGCTGTGGGTTGGCCGTGGGCTTGAACTCTATGATGGCGATTCGTGGGCGTACGGAGAACATCTCTCAAACCATTTTCGCTCATCCGAGATCAAGCTCAACCGACATTTCGGAATATATCTTCATGGTGACGCAGAATGACATTAGTTCGGTGTTCCACATACGCATCATCATCTACTCGAGTTCAAAACCCAAGCCGTTTTGTGATTTTGTGAGGTTATGGAGATGAATCTCGACGTATTTTTCGGAATGGTACATGATAATTTGGATATTTCCAGGCTTTCACAAAGACAATGACAGTTTCTACGGAACAGAAAGACAGTACGAAGCAGAGAAGGGTCAAAAACTAAGCACCAGACAACCGCTTGCCCAGAGACCCATACACGTTGTCCAACCCTCAAGATGCTTGCTGGAAGCGTTACGAACTTGGGTAGTGGATCGAATACGTTGTCTCGAGGTCTTCGATGTCGAAAGTGCGAAGTTTAGACTGTCTAGAGTGACAAAGGAAACGATTAAACGTACAATATCGACGCGGCCCACAACAATCTTATCAATCTTTCTTCTTCAAGTACAGTTCAGTTTCGAAGACTTTGGTCTTGGGCGCAGGGAGATTGATAGCTTGCACAGGCATACCAATCATCGGTAAAGGAGTATCACCCTTGTAACTGGAGATTTGGCTGGAGATTTGGTTGAAGACATCGCTAAATCGGTATTTCTCGAGCTCATGCTCACGTCCCGCTTGGAAGAATTTCGTCATATCGATAATTCTCAACTTGTGAGTCTCATCGACGGTGACACACTGGTTGGGGTCAAACAGACCCCAATCGTTAACGTTTTCAGCTATAGCAGTCAGTCGGCAATGACTACAGAACTCAAGATTTCTGGAAGCTTACTGCAAGGCTCGGAGCTAACAATGACATGGCGCCCTAAAAGAAGATCATTATGAACTTTTGCTTGTTGTTGATTGAGATATCATAGATACCTTGGTCGGTGGGGCCCATATCATTTTTCTGTATAAGTTGGCTGATTGAATTAATCTTGACATCAGAATCGCAAATATTCTTTTCAGCCTTCCGGAATTTGGAATCAGGATATTTCCTATTCAGCTTCTCGCCAGCGGTGAGCGAAAGGTAAAGGCTGGGAGGAAAACCGTTCTTTGAGTCCCTCCAGCGACACGCAAGCATCTGGATTCCGCTGTCCGCTATAATCATGCAGCGATAAGCTTGGGTATGTCAGCGGAAGAGGACGTTGGAAGACAAACTAATGCAGAGGTTGAATTTGTTTCCAGCACGGTCCTTTCCAGGTTCGAAGGCCCCAACTTTGCGTTGATGCTGAATCCAGTGGATATCGTCAATGGTTCTGATAAGAGCACACAGCAGTGCGTCAGTCGAATCAGCGTCGAAGGGAATTTGCAAGTTGCTGGCCGGGAACTGTCGGCGCTGAAACCAGATTCCTGCCTTGACGAGATCGAGGTGAGCGAAGTAGAGGGTTGCCAGATGTTCGGTGTCAGTGTTGCCTCGTATATTAAACACATAGTTGGAGTTCAGTACAGACGAGGGTAACTCAAGGGCTTGCACTACCATTTGTAATTCGGATATTCTGCTTATAATGTCAGATCGCTACCGAGCATGATCCTTTTAGCTCGAGTTACGGAGGAACAAAAAGAGGCGTACGAAGAGAGGAAAGTCAGCAACTTTCCCGTTGTGCATGAACGTATATTTCCCGAAGATGAATGGATGATTGTTCACTTCCACAGAGGGAGGGAAACTGGCATTTCTGATGTGTGCCAAAATGCACTTGGATGCGGTATGCGCGCAAAGCTGTTCAAACGCAAGATCGGTGGAAATCGGCGCAATGGTCCTGAAATGGGCGGGCAGCATGCCTTTGACAGTGGTGGGATCCGGCGAGAACTCCTTGAATGTGTCGGTGTACCATCCTACTCCAAAGCCATGGACATTGACCCACGTTGCCTCTGAGTCGTACGATAAGAAAAAGCAAAAAAATGGAACTCAGAAAGTTAACTAACCTGTCTCAAGCTCTTCTTTGTCGTTATCTTCCAGTCCATAGCATAATCCAGGCAGAAAACGTTCATGAACTCTGAAAATGTCAAGCATCAGCAAAAACTGCAATATACCCATTGTTGACAAGAAATGTCAACATACTGTTTGACGATCTGTAGGTCGATGTTATATGTGGCTCAAAACTATGAGCTAGAAACGTACTGAATGATCTGGCTTGATGAGCAGATCTTCAAGCATAAGACCCTGCCTTTAAAGTGGTCTGATAAGACAAGAAGTTATAAGGATTTGAGGAGGAGAACAGACGCACTCGCCAATATATACAATCCATCGACACATTGTTGAAAGTGGATATTGAAGGCGAGAGAACGGAACACTCTACCTTTGAAACATTTATGTCAGTTGTGAAAGAGAAATACTTTGTTCGATCCTTCCGTGGAGGAAAATATCGTACCAGCGTCGTTGGCGTTCTTGATCTTAATGGCCTTGCTGAGCCTCTTGACCTGAGGGTGATTCGGGGGAAAGAAAGAAATAAAATTCTATCTCGGCCAGTGGCTCTCTTAAAGAGAACGGAAGTGTCAGTGTATTACTGATCATGGAAGCAAAGGTGAAACCGAGAAGCTTCAAGTTCAAGTTGACATGTTGACGTCGAGTCGGATCCGACAAAATAGTACCGGGTTACCAGTCACCACTTAGCGTAGAACTCCGAGATCGTTGAGGGCGAGCTCTGGTGGTAGAATGATCTTTTTTGGTTTCGCCTCATCTAGGCCTGAAGCTTGAAGCTTGAAGAGGCATAGATGGGTATATAGAGTCTTAACGTAGGTGAAAGGAATGGTTCAAATAAAAAAATCTGTCAAGAACGAAGCAGGCGCTGATCAGTAATTCGAGTCCAAAAAAGGTTTTACGTCGTCGACCGCGATTACAATATACAAGTCTTTGAGCACGGAATAAAATGGTTGCATTTTTCAAGTCCTCCACCTATTTCAGCTTGGGACATAGTTTCGAAGTCCTGGAATATGTCTTGCTGTTGTCACGCATGGAACAGCAATCATGTAGGAACCGGTGTATGCTGGGCAGGAAGGTAGACGACTGACTCGGACTAGAATTTTGGAGTGAAACCTAGCAAAATCGAGACGCCCAGAATTTATTATTGATTGGTATAGGCTTGGGCCTGTCGGATATAGAAAACCTGCCTTCCTTGTTGCGCGAAGCGAAGGCAGATGACGTCGTATGTAGTCCTGTGAGCTGCACGAACTACACTGAACACAACTATATCGATAAGAAACAAAGATCCTTTAGCTATTCCACTGAGACCTGTAGTCGTTTTCCAACTTGATCGAGAATAAATTGCAAAGTTTCGCGAAAGGAGATTCGGTAGAGAGGGTGTGGGAGGAGAGGAATGGATCGTCGAGCTGGCCAACGTCACCGCGTTGCTGTCCTGAGTCAACGTTCGAACTGAGTTGAGCCAGGTAGCTCCTTCTAAGAAGCGCAGCGTACCCTGTAAATCTGGATTGTTAAGGAAGTGTCGGAGAGATCGCGGAGCCCGGGACTGAGTACTGAACGTGGACCGGTCGTACTAATGGAATGAAAACGCTCGGTCTCGGTTGTGCGAGATTTAACTGGACAAATGAGATCGATCCGTTTTTCCAAAAGAGGTTCACTTCTGACTACAGCTGTGACAACTATGGGCTATATTATCATCTTCAGCGTTCGCTGTGAACTCTTTCAAACCCAGAACACGTACCATGCGTTGTATCCCCAGAAAACTCAGGTTATCTAAAATCTCTCGTTCATATGATTTCTTCGGCCTCCTTACTAATCCTTCAACAACCACCTGGTAGCTCTATTCCATACCGCTTTTCACAGTCTTAGCCAATGCACCCAGTATGGATCCTCGCGGACGAATGATTCGCGATGATGATATGATTCGTGATCTGAGTGTGCCGCGATGAATCGACCAATATTTGAATGTGATTGACGTTCTCAGAGCCCTCTAAATCCATCTGATGAAGCAACTCAGGCAGAGGAAAGCCGTGAGTAAGCAGTCGCTGGAGGAAGTCTGCTTTTAATGATGAATTCCTTATTTTGAGGACAGACAATAATATACCGTATACTGAGGTTCTTGTATCGAGCAAGACGTTCGTAAATGGAGCTGGCTGAAGGTATGCATTCCTAGAATTCGGGAAAATGAGGAGAGAGTGCAAAGGGCCAGGAAGTGTGTAGCCATTGGGCTCGTCGACATTGCACAGGCGAGAAGCAGAAGAACCTCCCCCAATTTATCATCCGTCATGGCTCGAGCAGACCAACAAAGGAATCTGCCAAACCATCCAAGGTCACCGTCCGTGGCGTTCTCGCAGCTCAGACGGCCATTCCATGATATTGAGTGAATGCGACATGCCCGAGATTTCGTCGTCGTCGGTTTATCCCAGAAACAGGCGGAAGTGGGAGGAACTTGCTGTCGTCGTGGAGATCAGATATGAACTTGGCACTGCCTTCTTTCAAGACGGGATGATTGAGAGACGGTGCAAGGACCAGGCTAAGAATCAGGAGGGCTTTGGTGGCGGAAGGATCTAATGATCCTCAGATTCCATCCCGTCCTCAGTTTCGAGGGACTTTGTGGACTATTCTTCCTTCCTCAACCACGCTCTAGCGTAAGGTTGTCTGTGACGTCCGCTTTGAGGGTGCCGGTGAGGAGGTCGTCTAGTGGCCTCCATCTTCGATCTTGTCAAGTAGCTTGTAAAATGAAATAGAGGTTGCCCGTCTGGGAAGACAGATCGCAGAAGTGTACATAGAATGACTGTGATGAGCAGTTGCTGGACCTTGGTAGAATATATAGATAGCTCGACACACTCACCATTGCCATCCTCTATGTCTCCAAGCAATGTACTCATGTTCGTTTTATCTTTCCACAATCTAGTGATGTTGATGTTACTCATTCCAAGACTTAGTCGCGACCGTCATGTTGAAGATGAGCAGAGATGAACAAAGTATTGACTGGGCGGTAAATATTAATAAATCTGTGAGAATAATGTTCAGAATCGCTCGCTATATGGGCGTTTCGTAATAATTTCATCTTCCAGGCTCCATGACCTCGCTACCTCCCTTTCCAGCTAATTGACCCGGCAAGTACAGTTGCAGCTCGACATGGACGGTGCCTCTGAGGCTCAAAAAATGAATGGTTGTGGTTTCCATTTCAAAATTGGCAGCTTCCGAAAACAATAACCCACACATGATTGGCTGACTACGTATATGACTCCCTAGTACTTGAAAACCCATACGAAATAGTAATATCGCGCTTTTTAACATATCGTGAGTGCGTTTTTGTATATGTAGCCTACAACTTGTGTTTTTCTGAATCCTCAAACCAGTTCAAACCTTTCCCTCTTTTCTTCCGTTTTCGTCTTTGTCATCGCTCCTGAGGTTCCCAGGCATCACCTAGCTTCTCGAAAGTTTCATAGACCCGGTATCCTATATTTTCGTAGTATCGTTACATTAGTTTTTCACTGGTTTTGGCTTTTTATCAGGAATGCTTGGTTACGTGGATGAACAAGCAGTGAGTCTCAATCATATATTGATGTGTATCGCTCCATCTTTGAAATGTTATGTTTTAGGAAAAGGTAACAAGCTGTCAACCGCTGTAGTTATAGATGCGGGGAGACTACAATCGGGAAGTTTCACTCTGAGTAAAGCTGGCGAAGTTGATTAACCAGCCTTAAACTTGTATGTTAATTTTTGTTGCAGTCGCTGGTCACCGACTCGGACAACATTCAAACTGATTTGTTTATCTCTAGCTCCCTTTTAGTGACATCATTCCAACAACGAAAGTGACGGAGGCTGTAAAGGTAAGTGTCCATAATCAGTTCGTGCTTCTCTTGAAGATTACAGGCTGTTCAATTTAGCCATTGTCACCAGCGTACTCCGTTTTTCCTTTCCTCTCTTGCTACCGATCTGCATCATGATCAGATACTGATCCAGTCCGCACAGACCATCATGAGAAACTCAATGTACTGCCTCCTTACTACTGGCAAGGACTGCCTAATTTTCTCTAGCCTCGAGAATGTATTGTTGTCTTTGATTGAGGCCTGGGAATCGTAAGTAATCGAATTGTTTTTGACTTCAAGCGAGATTAGTTATATTAACACTTCCACTATATGCCTCAATTATTCTCTACAATCAAGTTCAGTGACAACCATAAGTAGAAAGGGCTAAAAAAGGAATGAATTTAGCACATAACAATTGATATAAGTGGCTTGATTGATGGTTGGGCTGGCGGCATTGTGCTATGTCAACGACGGAAATGATTATATCTTTCTTCAAAGATACTTATAGCTGTTACTGATAAACCTACAGGCTCTATTTTCGCAATCTATCTTCCCCATGGCGCAGACTGTCTCTTCGTATAAGATTGTGGCAGAAGTAGAGAATTTCATCCATGATGGATCATTGATATCGGTGAGGAATCTCTTGCGCGGTTTAAAAGTTTGGCCTTCGATCTGATTTTCGAATCAGTATTTTCTGGGTGCGGTGAACCAATGATTTGTAGATAATCTCCACTCACACCTCCGATCTTGCACTAGTTTCGAACATTGCACTTTTCATCTATGATTTAATCCTCATTTTTCCAGCAGAGCTGGAATTTGTGTGGTCCCCGGACATCTTTGGAATGTTCAATGTGTTGTATTTCCTTCAGCGGTATATGCCATTTGGTTCATTGATTCTTCTACTGTTCTTCGGTGAAATATTACTCATCCCCCTATCGTGCTCTTTATATTCTCACCTTTGAGTTTTTGTTTTTGTTTTCTCTAGATGGAGTGGTTTCACCTCCAATGTCTTTCAACAGTAATAGTTGCATGACATTGTATATCATGTCTGGACGTACGTTCTTTCAGCCTTTTGCAATTTACCTCACTCACATCAATGTAGTCACATTTGCCATAGGAATTTGTGGGTCTCAAGGTGAGGCACCCAGATCTGAACTCCCTGTTCTTTGGATCTGACACTAGACTCTCATCTGATTAGTGGTCCTTATATGGCGTGTGTGGACTCTGTGGAATTATAGCGCAAAAATAACATTTGTGTTCACTGGCTTATTTCTATGTGGCTCAGTGTTTAACCTCGTGATATTCATCAGCACCCGTACTGCAGAAAGCTGTAGGCATATTGTACAAAAGAACATATTTCCTTGAAATACTCATGAGTATCTAGATCCTGGTCCAAGTGTCACTTCGGTAGTTCACTGTGCCTCTCAACGTTATGTGCAGCCACTCTTCTTCATTTTTTGGGTACTCTTGATAGTGCACCATGCAGGTATGGAATGCAACTATCATCTGGGTACTACTACTGATGATTCGAGCCTTTTAGGTATCTTGTTACTAATGCTTATACCTCAAGGTTACTCTCTCCGTGTGTATATCTGAGATTTATCGCTGTCTAGGGCAGTCTTTGCTAATTACAGTCGAGAAGTGCGTATGCAAAGGTGGTCAGACTTGATAAACCTTATCAATGACATTGGTTAGTATAACAACTCGATAGAGGTGTTTTGAGTCTGAAATATGATCCTCATTAAGGCATTGTATATTCTATCTATTTACTTGGTGAGTTCAAACCAGTCCAAAACTTTTGTTTGCTTGGTATACCTAAGTATGTCTCTCTATAAGCATTGTCTTCATTGAATCTAGCTGGGGCGCTCCGTCTCCCTGTGAGCTGCTTCCTTTTTGTCGATGGCCTCACGGTAACCTGATTTCAACAAGACCAATTTGCAGGGGCTTCTTATTCCATTTCAACATGTGATGGAGACTGTCCTTACCAGCAGAGCTATCATTCACTGGAAAAGGCAGTCACAGAAATCACAAATAACTACAGCTCTTGATCTCACTGGCACATCTTTCGCCGAGGTCTTTGAACCCAGCAATGAATCGGCATCAATCCCCCCACACCCTTCATCTTTTCGCAGATCTGGTTCAACAAGCCGCTATTCGCTGGAAGAACCTTTAATTAATTTGGAAGACCCTCACGATACAAACTTCGTCAACGGAAGTCCTTCCCTAGACACACCCTCGCAGAATAACATGGAAATGGGAAGCCTGTATTCGGAACTCATAGAGGATGGAAATCCAAGGCTATTCTCTCCCTCACCTTCTAGGGAATCAGAAATCATCCGCCGCTCCCTCAGTATTTTGACTCCCTCCCTTGCACCATCAGAAATTTCGGATAATGTTGACGGCCCCTCAGGAGGCGATCAAGCAGGGGAAATGGGTTCCAGCCGTGACACTATGCAAACAAGCTCCTCTTATGAGACACTACCCAGTTATCATAGTCGTGTTTCAGGACTACGAAGGTCAAGCTCTCGCTTCTTCTCTTATATTCCCCTCAATCGAAGTCTACCCCCGCTTCCCCAGCAATCCGTAAATCGAGATGGGAACGGAGTTTCACGTCAGCTGTCAGTATTTACTACAGACACACCTCCAAGTTACAGGTCCTCTTGAATCACTTCTGATATGTAGCTAAAGTGTATAACCTGTCCCATAGTTTATTTGTTAAATATTGGACATTCATGGACCAGTTGGTGAACTGCAATACTTTGCCTCAGACGGAGTCAGGAGAGAGCCATGTATTTATCTATTTCTCTTCATAGATTACTACTCAATATGCGTACTTGGAAGCCTGCCAGGTACACTGGCAAGCAACACTAAGGAGAAGACTCACTGAGGTCGACGAGTAAACAGGCGAAAGTCTTGGATTGAGAGGACGAGGAGGATATGTGTAAGTAACGATGGTGATGGTACCAGAGAGAGTTACACTACCGAGAGTATAGCTATATATACTCTAGGATGAGACCCATGACGTAGAGGACGTGTCGGTGGTAATGGTAGGAAGTCACGTGGTTGTGCTTCCAGTACTGTAAGAATCAAGAATGGACTGGAAATGGATGTTTTGCCAACACAGACATTACATATTCTCCCCTATTCTCCCAATCCACTGTCAATCTGACACCAATACACCTCATACAAGATTTCAGGTGTATCCTTTGCCCTTCCAGCTTCATCCGTCATCTCCACCCTGAAATGTACCCTGATTTTCTTTCCCTCCTTGGATCCACTTCGCTTGCTCCCAGGTCTGGTATACTCATATCGGCTCACTCGCACGATATCGGCCGAAACTTTGACAGCTCAGTCGAGCGCTTGTTTGTTTTGTCTCCAAACCAGAGGGACAACAATTCGACAGCATCATACGACGCTCCTTCTACACCTCGGATGTTGGATCTGATTTCGGTACCTCTGTCCTCCAACATGTGAGCCTTAACGCTGCCGCCGTAATTGGAGGCTCTACCGGCAAGAGCCCCGCCAACGATTTTGCAGGCCTTTCATAGTTCCCTTCGCAACCTTTTGCTGATATTCCCTAATCGCTGTTGCTAGTGCGTGCTTTGCGAAGCGGTGGGCTATAGAAGAACGCTGGATGTCATTAGCTGGGACTATGCTCCACATTGGGTGAACTGTACGTCAGATTGTCGAGCTCATTACATTTGAACGTGAAACTCAATACCACATGTCTAGACCGTTTTTTTGTTTTGTGGAACTCGTAATTGTTCGTTTGCGAGGTTCCGCCTTCTTCTCTCCTGCATGTATTCCATTTGAGCTGATAGTATAGACCCGCATCGTGCGAGGTTCATGTTTTTGAAAATGTTCCTATTGAATTCATCCCGAATTCTCGCTAGATGCTCTGCGCGTGAAAGCGTTATCAAGTCGGTTCGAAGTAAATCGTCTAAAACTACTTCGTCGTCGCGATCTACACTCGGACTATGTATCTGAATATCATGCGGCCGGCCGACCATATGCTTTCTCTATATTTCTTTCTGGGACCGCATCGCCATGGACTACGAGATTATGGATTTCTGATACTCCGTGTTTTACATTCTAAGAAACCGCAATCAAAGACAAGAAAGCTGTTGAAATCATTCCCGAAACTCAAGGCTGTGCAACCTTCTTACATTGCCTTGGAACTACGGATTACTTTTTGATAGGTATAAAAACCCATATTGACAGCCCCTCGTCGTTCTCTACTGCATCTTCAAGTTTCGTTTCTTTCATCTTACCTATCGCTGTCAACTTTTTTCGTTCAACTTTCTCCGTTCAAATCCTTTTTTAATCCTTTTTCTTCCTTTAAGCAACGTCTTCTTTTATTACCAAACCTCTTGAGAAAACAACAATCCACTTCATCATAACCATGTTTCACCAGCTCTTCGTTGCTTTGTTCTCAAGTTCATTCCTCGTGTCAATGGCTTGCGGCCTTGCTATCGAACATCGGGACAACAGTGAGTCTGATCGTTCCTACTGGCCCCTAGTCCGACAGCTTTTCTTACATCCTTCCTCCAATCAGTATTGAGTGATATTACAGCTGGTGCCGGTTCCGTCCTAGGAGACGCTACATCACTATTCGGAGATGCTACATCCATTGCTCCAGGGGTATTCGAAACTGTCACTTGTCTGTCTACTACTCCATCTCTCACTTAAAATTGACATTGACATACTTTTGATCCAGCTGAGGCCGGATCTATTTTCACAATCGTTACCAGCGAAGGCGGAGATGCCATAACTCTAGCTGAGAGTGCAGGAGGCCAAGCTACTTCATTTGCTGGGCATGAATTCACTGTTGCGAGCAATGCGGTCATTGGTAGTGCTACGACTTCTGCCACTGCTACATCGACGGGCTCAAGTAATAGTGCTTCTTCCTTGTTGGGCGTTGCTGGTCCAGGGTGGATAGCAAGCTTTGCAGTAGCTGCGGGGGGAGTGCTAGTCGGCGGTTTGATGATAGTGTAAGATGTGTTGGGGTGTATTGTAGCATTTGGACTTTTTTTCTGCCTGCCTGCCTTGAAATATTGATAACACCCTAAAACTATAATGTTCTGTTGAGAAGTTTCCCACGTAAAGTGATTCCCTGGGACCGAGGCTTCATCCATTATAGATGTCTAAGTATAGTAAGTCGACTATCCGCTGAAATATGTATAATGTGAGGGAGGTTCCTAGGTATTGATGAACATTGGGGAAGCCCCGGACTAGGTTCTCTACATGGTTCTCCTTCGTCTGGAAATTTTCTTCAGGAGTAACACGGAAGGACTGAGAAGCTTGAAGAAGCTCATGGAATTCGGGTTGTAACTGTCTGGAGAAGAAGGTGAAAATTTTCATTTATCACTCGACTTATCTTGTCCCCCTCAACGGCCCTCACTGTCAAACTCTTTTCATTACTTCGATTCTTGTTGTTCATCATTCCTTACTCCTATTTCGTCCCTTGGGCCTTACAAGGCAACTTCAAGGCAACTCGATTACAAGACGTTTTCAAGATTGACAAATGGTCGAGATTCTAACAGAGTTCTACCGCCGTTGCATAAGACGAACGACTAATTGACAGAGCCGTGTCCTGGCCGCGTACTTCATCGGACTTTTTCCCCTCTAAGGACACTGGATGACGCTTCTACCTCTATGGTGCCTAAACGCATTCAATCTCGATGAATGCACTGCAGTTGCAATGAACTCACTAAGTCGCGCCCATACTTCATTGAATGGAACACCCCCCTTTCGAGGGACCGTAGCCCTTGACAATCTGAATGAAACAACACCAGAGGCAAAATGATATGCCCTCCAACGTCAGGAGCGGGACTCGAAAGGAGTAAAATGCATACATTCCAACCGTAACAGTTCCTCCGAGTCCCTCCTTATCAAATTTAAAGGAACGCTAGTATCAGCGGCAGCTTCCAGTTTGTATAAAATGAGGTTGAACTTTGAGAACTGAAGCCTCATCAGCCATGGCTCCCTCATTCACCTCCAGATTGTTTACCACTGCTGCAATCTTATACAGCGCTTTTCATGCATCCGCTGCTCCCAGTACCCGGCAGGTTCTCGAAACCAGTCATGGAATCCTCTCTGCACCCTCCAGCGGGGTAGTAGTTTCCCAAGGCTCATCGTTCCCTTTCGAATTCCAAGATTCCAACTGGTGTGAAGACGGATACAGCTCCATTTCAGTCTGGCTCACTAATTACGCTCCGACATATTTGAACGTCAACTCGACAGGTCAATTTTCCGAAGGCGAATATAGTTATTATTTCGGGTCGTACTTGATACCGAATTTCGGTCAATATTTTTCTCCGGACTTGGGAATAGTACCTGTGCTTATTGATGACATTATAGGATTACCTGTTCTCTCGGGAAGTACGCCCCCTCCGTCGAGCCTTCCACTCCCAGGATTGAATCTCTCTACTGGAGATGAGGTTTACCTTGCCGTTGTCGAGACGGGCACCAGTTGCCCACCGGTATGTCTAACTCCTTAACACAAGTACCAATTACATTCAGCTGAATATTTTACTAATCCGACAGGGCCTCCACATTCCCCCTCAGTACGAGCTGACAGAAACCTCTATTATAGTTGGATAGACAGTCATCCGTAACCTCAAGGCACAGTGTATCGCTAGAATGAAATAGAAGGGGACTACATTGTCAGGGATAAATGATCTTGTTGTAAAGCCTTCCCGCAAAGTTATGAGAACAGTGGCAATAACATAGTTCAAAAGGGTAAATAGATACACGAAACTCGGTGAAGCCTAGTCGTTATAAAGCTCTGTCGGTTTTGCTTCCTCCACCATCATCGCATGATGCTCTTCAGCCATTTCAAAAGATGGGCTGCCCATCGCACGTTCCTCCCCTCTCTTATGATCGTTGAAAGCCGTCGCCTCAAAGAACTCCCCATACGTCTCCTGCTTTAAGTTATTCTTATTCTCCTGATTGAATTGTTTTGGAAGGTAAGCTAGACCAATGGCATAAAGCAACGGAAGCAACTACCATATCAAGGTTCGTGGCATGAATGATGTTGACATCTGAAAAATCAAACAAATAGCAGCTCACCACAACCCAGATGTACCAAACATAATCCGCACCCGCCATGAGCGGACCTCGTCCGATCTTAGGCCACTCGGTTTTATATCCCGTACGGACTTGATATAGCGCCGCTCCTATAATGAACAGACCAAGTAAAGCATGTATGTAGTTCTGCGGGGGCCGACCGAGGATATTTTTAAACTTCACCCAGTGGATGAAAGCTCCAAGCGAACATTGGAAGAAATAGAGGACAAACAATGCGACTCCCCAATTCTACTTGCAGTGGTGAAAATTGATATGGATGACGATAAAGAAGAGAGAAACGAACTTTGTGCTCATCGTTGAGATGTTGACCCCCGGATTCAATAACGGCCTGTATTCCAAGGGCGACACCAATGACAATTATTGGTCCAGCTGCCAGCGAGAAGGACTCGTGAGTAATATGATCAACAGAAACCGCATCGAACGCGACTTACAAATGGCGAACTGTACAATCCAATGTCCCTTGAACCAAATCGGCGTGAAGGTCCTCATGTATCTCGCCAATAAAGCTCCGATCGGTAGTAAAAACAAGAAACCAATCGTTAACATGCTAGCATGGCCGATAACCAGGCGTTGAAAAGGCAAAAGAGCTGAGGACCGTGACGCTGTGGCGACTCCAGTGAAGTCCTTTGACAAGTCGAAGCTTGCGGTGCCTGTCTCTTCGTGAATTTGCAGAGGCGCACTTGGGGATGAAGATCCGGGGTTCTGCGGCCCAAAAGCCCAAATTGTGGGGATGGTGGTTGTATTCGCAGACTACGGTAAGTAATGCTTAACAAGGAGCCATGGTATTACTAGTATTACCACTACTCACTGGGATGGAGAATACAAATTGAGGACTGTTCCCTGAGGTCTATTCGGGGCAAACGGTCAGTAATCAGGAATTCACGATGAGGGATAAACACACTGTGCTAGCATTCATCAACAACGTCGCAGTTCTAGGGGGACTCGACACAACGGTAGGCATAACTTCCGCTGGGGCTTGACGCTGCGATAGAGTGACTAAACCGTCTGAGTTTGACCATAAGATGACCATAGGGCTGTTCGCCATGTGTGATCCAAAGCCACTGAGAACAAAAGTCGAAGTTGAGAAGATAAACGAGTATGTTGAGGAGAGATTACGCACACCCCCATCCACCCAGGTGTCGTTTTCCCTGTTCCGGAGAGCGTATCTGTAATGATGAGGATAACGATTTGAACACGTAGAGGTCTTGAACCTACATTGTGTCGTCGAGTTTTGCACGATCGCAGTAACGCACATGTACTAAATAAAGAACAAAGCATCAGTATCGAAAGGAAACCTTTATTCATCCATGATCAAAGTCAACGAATGACCGTACCGTCGAGCAGTGCGAATCCCCTTTCTTTCCCGCAGTATCGTTCGTTCCCAGCGCCTGACGAGACCATAAACCCTGGTCCTAGTGTATTACATGAGTTTATAAATTCATTCGAAGAGTAAACACGGCCCACATATTTCGGTATCCTTGCTGTTGCGAGTGAACAAAGAATCGTAGATGAGAGAAAAAAAGAAAGAAGTAAATTCATTGTGGTGTAAGGGTGAGGTAGACTTGAAGAATAGGGAGAGGTAGGTGAGGTAGCAATCGATTTTATACGAAGCGACTCAAGCTGTCGGAGATCACTATTCGGACTCGTACCCTCAGCGCCGAGATATAACCAAAAACGGTATTCCCGACACGCATACTCAAAACGACACTCCACAGGAATTCAACGGATTGTAATCATGAATCCTGTATCGAGGCAATATCGTTTAGATGCACAAAGTACACGCTCTATATCAGACTATATGTGATTGAATATGACATACATGTTCTCAGTTGCACAGCTTCTATGGAGATTAAGCATTGTTATTTCTCCGTCGCTCCCCGGGATAACTGCAGACGTGCAAGGGATCACCTCAGCGTGGCCTAGATATTACCGGGAGAAGCGCTCCCGGAGTGGTTGTAATCATCGATCTAAGTCGTTGATTTCTGAGGACGGTCTTCCTCATAACGAGAACGAGGGCTCGAGAGCGCCAAACAATGCGTTCGAATAGTGTTTTGCGACTCCCAGCTGAGGTTTGCAGAATAGAATACAAAATCTTAGCATTCAATGTAATACAAGACCCGTACAAGTCAGCAGCGGGGTACTTATGATTTCCAAGTTTCTAGTCCTTTTGCTCTATGGATCACCCATGCATCTATGTGGTCTTATTGCAGGGCTTCCTCGTGGTCATGAATCGAATAATCTGTACGCGGGTGAGTCGAAGTGAGGGAAATTATACGAAGGATCGCACCGCGAACGTGGACCTTCAAGGATGTATCCTACGCCGAATCCTGCCTGGTATGCGATGATTTTGATAATGACGAGCAGAAGGTTCATGTGTTGTGGAACCGCTGATGATAGAGAGTGGATGGTGTTGTTGTTGCGGAACGTCGAGACTTGGACCGATATCTGAACCTCGCGCAGCTGCAGTTGTACAGAACGTTAGGAGAAGTGGTAGTAAGATGACGTGAAATAGCAGAGGAAATTTGGATAGCATCTGGGGATAACAAATGAATGAGAGGAGTTGAGTAAACCAAGAGAGATTGACGCACTGGCGTGACAGGACGATGAAGATATTTGAAGCGGGAAGAGTCGATTCAGGCAACGTCTTATATCCTGGATTATATTATTAACACACGAAAAACATGAGGCTAAATCCAGCGATGGAGAATACGTACGCGTAAGTCCATCATGCTTGAGTACTCAGGTTCGTGAAGTTCGGAAACGGACCCGGAATCTACTCGCCACTGCGCTTTTCCATCTTCTCGCTACCTCATCCTCTTGGCTATCTCCGTCTTCGGTCCATGACCCCTCGCTCTCCATCTCACCCGAATAATTTTCGCATTACACCATTCAACACCTCCACTTGTTTATATATGGCGGTTGAAGCTTGAACCAGGACAAAGACGAAGAACAGCAAGATCCCGGAGAATTGAAGGTCCCAAAGAGCCTGCATCGTACAGTTTTATTTCGTAAAAGCTGAGAGGGATATCGCGAATGCCGGAACCCAAGGTTAATCATAGCTAAAAAAAAACGGAGTACGAACAATACGGCCTATGTTGTATAAGCAATTACACCATGAGTGTAAATTCGACGTACCTCAAGTCAAAACTGAGACTGGCTTGGGATGGAGAGGACATCTCTTTTAGAATAGACGAAAAAAGATTGGAGACCGCGAGATGAGTCGTTGAGAACAGTGGGCTTTGATAGAGCCTGAGTCATCAACAAGAGTAAGTATGTCATAGTGCAAAAAATGATTTGGACAAATCCGGATTTGAACCGGAGACCTTTCGCATCTCTGAATGCAAAGCGAACGTGATAACCCCTACACCATATGCCCGTGAAGGACATTTAATGTAAGCGTATCTTAATCACATAGGTATGTAAGAACTTTTCAAGTTCCCGTCTGTTCCCGTCAATCTCTATCTCGTCCTCAGAAGTTCAATCATGGAACCTGCTGGCTTATCCCGGTCATTCATCCTTCCCACCTTCTCCTCAGACATTCGTACCGTTTGGACCAACACCTCCTTAACGGAACTCGCGCGTTATAAAGAAGAATAGAGGCAGTAGAAGAAGAAGCGAAAAATCATGTGGAATCAGGGGAGGAAGCTAGTAATATAGCTTATCCTTTCGTTCCCAGTCATTTTGCCCCTTATCCTTCTATCTGCCTCAGTTTAGATTATACACTCTACAACAAACCGTCGTGGACTCTCTATGCGCCAACAGTGCAACCTTTGCAATCAGAGGCTTCGGATCTCACAGGCATCCAATAAGTAAAGAACCGCCAACGTCTAATCATCAATTACAGACTATGCAGTGGGAGGCTTAACGTCAGAAGAGTTATCAAATCACCCCGGTATCTTTGTTGTAGTCTAAGCTACGGCGCAACGCGAGCAATGGCTTGTTATATGGACATGTTGAGTACAAATTCGGTGGGTGAGTATTTCCGACTCCCGACTTCCGTCCAGCGTGCTGAAAACTCCGCGGCTGATGACGGCGTTACTTCCTGTGTTTGATGCAGAGACAAGAATGGATGCAGGAAATTGGTAGTAATACAAAATGGCAATAATGCTTATGCAGAGGTAATTAATGCTGTAGCTTCCTTAACTTGAAAGATGAACATATGAATCCCAAAAAGTTTCGCGATACGTTATTCTTTTGGTTTATAGGATCGCATATTGTACGTAGTGACGTGTCAAATTTTTTATTCGCTGTACTACCTAGGCTAGTTATCCTGTTCCGAGTACGTCCACCACAATCTTATCATTCGGTACTAATTGGTTACCTTAGGAATTGGAAAATCTACTGCCATTTTTGAGCAAGAGACTGATGGTCTCCCTCTGAATCCCGATGTACAAGTCGGCAGATATCCATGAGCGACCCTCTATCAAACACGATCCACACATACTGTGAAGCTCCTGCAACACTTTCGCGTTGACTTGCTTCGATTTGGTTATTACAGCTTGACGCTGTTGCGTGCAAAGTGGCATTGGGTAGTTTGGTATGCTGGTAATCATCATGTCTGTCATCCACCACTCATGCTTTTCAATGATTTGTCCTTCTAGGGAACAGCTCAAGGGAAGAGCAGAATCACCATCGAGTTCTACCCCTTTGGTCATCGAAGACCAAGCATTTTTGGCGTCTGAGGTTCTCTCTATCTGCAAAGATTGAAAAGACCCTGTGGTCAGTAAAATTTATTCTTATTCTCTGGATTACCTAGAACCGTGCTTCACTTACTCCAGCTCTTCCCGTCCAGTTCGGGGTGTGTAGTTCATATTTGACCTTCACTTGAAAATTTTGATTTGATTCTTTACTGCTACCACGGGGCTCATACTTAGGCACAGAATTTCTCTGCACGAGAGCTGTAGGACGTCCATAACTTCTGAAATGCACACCCCATGTCAAAACTGCCATTGGCAATGGAAGAATAACAAATGACCTTTCTTCCTTGATATGATTCTCTCTTTTGTCCATTGGGAGAAATTCCGGGATATCTAGATTTAATTTCCGAGCACAAGGGTCATCTATTCCTTTACAATATTGGAACACGTATGGAATGTCCTTTGAACTCTGGATTCTGGTATTGGAACAGAATCGACAGCCAACGCATGATGACAGCGAGAAGGCAGGACCCGGGCACGGGATGGTCGGAATACTCTTCGAGATAGGCGCTGATCAAGACATACACACATTTCTGATTTTTGGCTCTCGTCTACACTTAGGGACTATCTATAATAGAAAATGTTCTCTGACTGACATTATTGAACGACTTGAAAGGCCCATGGCAAGCATAGGGACCATTTTCTCAAGTTACAGTCTCTTTGAAAACCGAAACTGACACCCGTTTGTCCTAAGAAAAATTAGCGCCCACTGACTCCTAAAGGACAACAAATCAAATCACCTCTTCTTCCGAATTTAAGATCATTGATTAGCACTTGCCAGCTTGATGCCAGTACGAAGTCTTAGGTTGCTTCAAGAATTCGGAATATCAATGAACACAAAGAAAGAAAGCATGCGGTACATTGCCATTCAAGTTCTATTTTTTGAAACATAGAGACTCCAGATAGCTAAATTCTACCTTGATCATTTGAAAAGTTTGTATCCGGCATAAAGATTATTAGCACCTCAGGCTATTGCCATTCACAAAATCAGATTTTCGTTGTAAAATCAGCACTTGAAATGTCAAGGAATATGTAACCGATCTTAGTTCAAAAGTTCTATGTGTCAATTCTATCCGAGCCCTGGTATAGGTAGAAGATCCTCGGTCAACCATCCCGATCTTGTTTCCGGGGGCCGGTGAAGATGCTTCACCATATGCATGATATGCGAAGAACTCGAAATATCGGACCCTTTTTCATTCCGGTACGAAAGTTATTTAAGGGTGGTGAGTTCCCTTGAGGTCGACATCCTACAGCCTCCCCATGATCATGGCCATCGAAAAAGACACTAATAAGATCGACACTAAAATCATGGAACAGGTACTATTGCGAATCCACTCTCCAAGTTCATTTGAATAGCTAATTTAATGAAATTAGTGCAAGAAAGCCGTCCTTGACACCCTGGGTGTTTTAAACATTGATCCCCTCGCTATTATTCCATTCGAGGAAAATCCTACTTTCAATCCGTTCGTTGCTAGGTGTATCGAAGCAGCTCATCAACGCAACTATATCAGCAATACTTTCCAAGACAAACACGTCGTTATTGGCGCCGCAGCTGCACATCATGCATACCTTTTCCATGAAGGAACGGAAAGTCACAACGTCCCTGTGCTTTCTTCGTTGTTGATGGCTTTTATCTACTTCATCGACGATAACGGATTTCAACAACAATCAATCGCAGAGTACGGATCCCGCCTGGCTTCTGGACGCCCTCAGCTCGAAAAAGGGCTCGACGACATCGTAGCTGCTACTGCAGAATTAGCCGACATGTACCCGCCTATTACAGGTGATTTTTTACGCTTGACAATCCAGTCGTATGTCACGAGCAATCAGCTCGAGCGAGAACTCGAAGGGAGTGGGAAACAATCTAAGGTCAGTGAGCTCAGCCCGATATAATTGATTCCAACACAACTGACCTGACAATTGATTTTCCTCAGTGGGAGGTGAACAAAGATGCCCCGTTCTTTCCTACCATTATGAAAACTTTGACCTCATGCGCAACACTGGCCTTATTACTCTCCTTCCCCTGTAACTTACCTGCCACGAGTTACATTCAGGCCCTCGTTGATGGAGTCTGGGTTCACGATATCACATCGTACGCATTCTCACCTCTTGAGAATACCTATTATCATTGACCCCTTCTTATGCTTTTTAGAGACATCATGTCGTACTACAAAGAGGCAATCAACGGGGAATTCACCAGAATAGAGCAAGTGGCGCAGATGCAAGGCTCGCGAGGATCAGACGTGCTCGAAGACCTAGTCAAGACAATGACACAGAGTCACCGACGAGTAGTCCACGTACTTGCTGCATCCGATCCATCAGGAAATCTAGTGTCGTGCTATACTCGTGCCCTTGAAGGTTTCGTGGTCTTCCAAGCATTATATCCTCGCTACAGGATTGCAGAGTTCGGTATATTTAGTTTCTGATCAGTGCATTAGCAATAAGGCAGTAGAGTGTCTGGAATGTAAAGAAGTTATCATCCGCAATGTGGTTACAAAAAGAACAGGGCGTTAATTCGACCAGTGCTGACAAATGATATCAATCTTTTCCCTCTTCTAATGTCATTTCGAGGTCTGCTAGCTGTTCCACTACTACACCGTCCGCCCCATGAAGTTTCCTTCAACTTCTTCCGAGACAAATGTTGTTTTCGCAAATTCCAACGTAGGATACGCATGTGTCCTTTCCGGGTCCCGTGCACAACGTTCAATTTCATTCCACGCACAGCTCCAGCGCTAAGTTTCCGTATAGGGCACATGCCTTGACAAGTTTCACCCGTCTTACTAATGGGTATTACGATGTCGGATGGAAGCAAGGAAGTGAGGAAGATTATGCCTTTGGTATTTGGCTTCACAGCGAAATTGTGCGATTCCAGAGACTTACAGCTCTGGATCGAGAAGTTCCGCTGGCTAGTATAAGTACTACATTACTACATCTTCATATCCCCAATTTACCCAACTTGTTCTTTTGTCTCAAGTATGATGAACGCGAATTCCATCTCTTTGATCGTTATCCCCCGAAATAATGAAGTAGATCTAGATCCTCACGGGTACAAGCCCACGCTCTCAATCTGTATACTATTTCTTTGTCTGTTTGGGGATTCCTCTCGTGAGTTTTATCATTGGCTATGCACTACTAGTAGCAGTGTATGCTTGAATTCATGCAAGGACTAACTTTTGCTTTATCCACAGTCATTCACTTTTCTCAAGCTCTATTTTATCGGAAGTGGTTCCTTTTATACACCGCGGTCCTTGCGGGCTTGGTTGAAATTTTAGGATGGTCAGGACGTCTATGGTCCAACCAAAATCTTCCCAACAGCACTGTCTTTACTGTGCAGTGACTACGCCTCGACTTAACATGACACTGATCATTGCCCATTGAATAGTTTCAGGATCACTTGTACAATTATGGGGCCCACGCCTTTACTTGCTGCAAATTTTATAATCTTGGCTGGGGTCATAACAGTTGAGTCCTCGACTTTGTAGGTACTATCCAGGACATTGGTATTCAGCACTGACTGATCCATTGACGATATCCAACTTTAAGACTCAATCATATTCCTCTCATGTGTAAGAGGTCTTCGTATACCCTTCGCCAAAAGTGGTCAATCCCTGATCATGCAAATTTTTCATAGGACTTTATTGCACTTGCAGTTCAGGGCGGCGGAGGCGGTATTGCCTCTGCAGCAAAAGATACGGCGGATACTGTCAACCTCGTACGTGGCCCTCACCGGTTACGTATCCTTCAGTTCATTTAGTCAACTCTCAATAAACAGGGCTCGCACATAATGCTTAGCGGCATAGTCTTCCAACTTGGTGCGCGTAGTGAATCTGTCCTTCATTATGCAAAATATGACTTATCTTGCTTCTTTCGTTTGACAGTGGTAATAATATGTTACGTGGTTCTAGCAATCGAGTTCTTCTGGAGGTACTCTCGCGGTCGACCTGTTTGCTCCGGAAGCGGTGTCGTTTCCAAGCCCAGCACAAAATTCGCTGTTGATAAGCATGACAGACTGATGATCTATGCTTTGATATTGTATACTTCCTGCTTGTTTATTCGGTATGTGTGCTTCGTACTCCTCCCTCTTCGTCATATTTGCTCTATTTGATGAATGGTGACCCCCTAAAATAGAGCTATCTATCGAACCATCGAACTAACAGACGGATTTCACGGAAAAATCATCGAGACTCAGTGGTTATTCAGTACGTGTTATCCATCTATCATCCCTTTGTTGACTGAATTTCCCTAATCAATCAGACATCTTCGATGGAGCGATGATAGTTCTTGCCATGTATGCGTTCAATGTTGCTCACCCTGGCCGACTACTTGTTGAGGATAAGGAGACCGTCATGTACACCAGCACTGGCAGTGTTTTGGGCGTTGGTAACGGCGGTAGTACTGGTACCCTTCAGCAGCTTCCAGGGGAGAAAATACAGGATTTTCGGACTGTCTGAGTCCTTTCTTTTTAGGAGGGTAGTTAAAGTAAAACAAGAAGAAATTAGAGACTGTTTCATTTTCAAATGCGCCTACATCGATACACCAACAACACTTTGACCTACACAAATTAATATCAGTAGTGTATACTAGACATTTCCAACCTTCGAAACATTACAACCCGAATTTTCTCCTCGACTTAAATGGTAACCCATCATCTGCTACACGAGCTGGGCTCTCGTTTCCGCTCTCGTTACCATTCTTGTTATCATGTCGGTTTAAAGAAGTGCGCGAAAATACCCTACCACCAACACCCTGACCACTATCACCACCACCACCATACAAGTCATCCATGTCTTCGCGTATGTGCGGATCCGCATTAAGACCAGCTTCTTCATGATCCTCGTCGTACTCGTCGGGATTAGATAACCCTTCGGTTAAACCATCTTCCTTGTTTTCTGCAGGCTCTCCAAGAAGATGCTGCAGCGGATGTTCGATTCGGTGGAGCGATACCACCTTGTAAGCGTCCTTGTCCACATCCATCATATCAACAGGCCTTCTGTTCATTGTGTGATCTCTTTGAGCGGCGGGAGCTCGTCTTTTTTGTCTGCCGTTCCTCGAAACCGTCTCCCCCTTTATCCTAACGTCGTTAGAGCTTCCGACCACCTCTGTCCTGATCGTCGCAACTAATATCCGTACCCCGTCTCTCACTTCTATTTGTGTAGCAGCTAGTATATCGTCCTTCATTGTCTGAATATCCTTCGTTAGTGTGTTTAGGAAAGCAGGAGAGGGTTCCTGTTGTAGGACCGTTTGTATTTCGTTGGTGACCATGTCTTGAAGATTCTTCTGGACCACATTTTCGACGGCATTCCCAACGATATCCCGAACGTTCGCTTGAACGATATTCCTGACAGCATCTTCTAAGTCCGGATCCCGTACCAGAGCACTCTCACTCTTATTCCCATCGCCCAAGATCGTACTTGTCAAGTGCTCCCTGATTTCTGCAACGCCCTCCGCTTTCGCCTGCTTGATTTCGTCGGAAAACCTCGAAAGGGAATCAGCAAAAGAACTGAAGATCGAGTCGATGATCTGGATTACTGTAGAGGAGGAGAGACTTTCGGAAGCAGGAGGAGCTTTGGAAGGAAGAGTAGTGTCGGGAGGAGGAGGATCATCGGAAGCAAGAGGGATTTGCGTAGGGATGGAGATCAAGACTGGGATTGGAGGAGAGGCTGATGAATGAGTGAGCAGGGAAGAATAGGGAACAAAGGGATATCCAGAAGGCCCTGGTAAGGGATATGATAGAGAAGAGGAAGAGGAGGCCGTTATAGGTGTTGGAGGAAGGAAGACATTTTGTGCGGAACTGCAAGCGGGACTGGAAGGAGGCGGTACTGGAACGGCGTTCTCGGATGTTATATCTACTCCTCCATTCGTCGTGCCGTTCTGATGCGAACCTTGGTGGCCGGATATTCGAGGTATGATGACTCTTGGACTAGGTTCGTCGACGGTCATGTTATTCGATTTATTTGGTGTAGTAGATGGAATGGAGGTCTTAATTGGATCATTATTCCCACTTTCTCCATTGATACTATGAGAACCACATCGAGACAATTTTTCGCCCAAGGCACCTTTTGCTCGTTTGCCATTTGCGAGAGTGGAAGTCGAACTCGGCGTTTTATCCTTCGAGGTTACTCGCTTCGACGCGGTCTTCATTTCTTTCTCCAGAGGTGAGCCTGGACGTTTACGCGAGGTGATTTTCTGAGAAGAATTCGTTTTTACAGGTGCTGAGGACGTAGGTTGACGACTTGGGATTTGTTTATTAGCTGAGTGAGAAGATCGGGAATTGCCGACCGGGCCGTTGGAATTTGGAACTGGAACGAAGTTCGAATTTGACACGTTTTTGTGTTCTTGAGACGAGAAAGGGCTGGAGGATGACGACGACACTATACTGTTGGTTAGTTTGAAGTCACTTGCAATGTAGGCAAGCGAACGGGCTGAACTTGGAGTGTTTCCGGTGGGGACTGATTCGACAGCAGTCGTGGCAACAGTAACAGGTTCTACAGGCTTCGATCCAGGTGGGGTCTGGGAATATGTAGATGGCAGCTCACTCGCTGACGGAGACACAGATGAAGCTAGTGCTCTTAGTGACCAAGCATCAATTCCATTTAGAATAGGATGATCCTCGGTGTCCCAATACCAGTCCACATTTTTTTGTTTAAGCCCGACGAGGAATTGTTCTGCCGTGATACCGATTGTGATTTCGTCGTCAGTGAGAGTGAATCCTCGATGGCCTTTGATTGCCCAGCGTCGCCAGTCTATGAAGAAACTTCAATACTAATTGATAGAAATAAGATAGGTAAATAAAACGTACCAAATTTAACCGCATCCTTCGAATATTCATCCTCCCCGACTGTCTGATAAAACTCCTCTACTTGTTCAGGGCCGGAAATGAACCACTTTAACCGATACCTGGCCAAAGCCCTATCAAACGTTGCGCATCTCCATTTCCTATCCATACCCTTCGATATCCCCTCTTCACTTGACACCCTGACATATTCCTGTGCGGCATCCAAGAGGGCGGTGCACAGTCTGGAGACATGGAGAATACTGAATTTGTATTCATTCCATTCGGTTTCGCGAGAGGAGGCGGTGAGGACGAGTTTGAGGGAAAGCCATTGGAAGCGGGCCAGGAATAAGAGAGGGATGCGGTAGCCTACTGGAAGTGTAACTGTTTCGCCGTTCATCCTAGTGAGAAGAAAGAATGGGGTTCCCCGAACTGCTGCGCGGGGAGGGACACTGAAAGCGTTGGCGATAAGATAGAAAATGAGTTTAGTTGGTAACCAATCTTCTGGCGTAAAATATTGTAGTTCCGCGGGATGTTTCCATCCGTAAGAAGGTAAAGGTTCTGGTTCCACGTCTGGTGAGTGAAGGATTTGCAATATAGGCGGTGGAGTCGATGGCTCGATTTTAACAATTGATTGTGGTTGAGGAGATGGTGAAGTCGAGCAGGGAATGGATGCAGAATGCGTAGCGGGTGCTTCGTCTCGTTTTGCGCCGCTACTGCCTTCGGGGTACCAGCCGAGTATAATGGTCATTGCTGGGATCGGGGACGGAAAAAGAACTAACTAGAATGTGAGACAGTTTGTCTGTGATTACTAAAAAAAACCAACTCACCAAGAGATTGACAAGTCAAAACACAGATCTCTCTGCTCTAAAATTTCGACGGCTTAAACTCCTCTTCACGGGATGGTGGGGGTAGCGAGTGGAAACTATTGAAGACACAGGAAAAGAAATCTCTTGGTTGATGGTGGTTCGGCGTCGAAGACCAGACAAGTTTACACCGGCAATTTCCGACTGTTGCGCTGGCAATACTCTGATTTCTCTTTGCTTCAGCAATCTTTTAACGGGCACATTCACTTGATAGTTGTTGATCCAGTACATACCATGCTCCTCCTCGTCTAAGGTTTTACTTCAAATTTCATGATTCTTTGAGATTATTTAGCATCAGCAAAATGTGTGTCGATTTACCCCTCCTGAGCTTTATTCTTTGTTCACAATACATCTGTAAAACCTGTATTTTCGGCTAAGAGCTCGAAAGCAGCTGACAGCACTGTCCAGCTGGGAAAGCGCTCCCAGCAGTATTGAAAAACTGCTGGGAGTGCTTTCAGCGCTGGACAGCACTCTCCAGCTAGTACCCTCTAGTACCCTTGCTCTCGCGAACATCCAGGTTTTGCAGATGTAAGATATGGGCAAGGATAGAATTTCCTGGAAGACAAACAAGAAGCCACCTGGGGTTTTTGGAACCTACTCTCAAGTCGGGGCACCTATTGACCAAGCATAGTACGTGCATTCACTCATTATGTTGTTTTTTAACCTGTGCAGCTTCCTCGACAATAGTGGCTCTCCAGTTCCGCCATCGCAATACCCACAGCTCCAGGAAGAAGGCTGCGTTGCAGTTTGATGCGCACATGGAGACCTTGCAAATGTGTGGGCTCTTGACCCCAATAGCATCAGTCAGTACCGAGGAATGGTATTTGCACAGTGTCCTCGCGACGAAGAACAGTGTAGCTATTATGGTCTGTCTGAACAATTCTTGTATTCTAAAACATAACTAAACCTTTCCTGGCCCCAAGAATGCGTTAATGACTGGCACCGACAAGCTCAAACTGCAAAATCAAGTGCAAGATATACCCCATATCCATCCCCACCAACAACTGGACATGACGGAAAGCCTCATTGCATGCTCTCCCAGCTTGCTCATTTACCTGTAACCCCCTCCCGGCACTCCAAGTCGTTCCCTATGGGTGGAATCTCTGAAGGTACACTCAAACCGATGTCTTTCAATGGTAGGAATTCCCTACGTCAAAAAATCAATATTTCATTCAACAAGATATTGAAACCCATGATCCATCTCCAGTTTCTCCTCTGCAATTCACACACAAACAACCCAGCCTTGATTTTAAAGCCCCTTCAAAAATCACTGATGGCGGTACTGGTTCAGAACCCGGTGCTCCATTTTTTACTTCTTCACCATGGAAACGTGCAGGTCCACTATACCCTAATGCTTCAGATGATGGTGAGGTTTTGTTTTTAGGTGGAGTATCAAAATGACTAAGTGAAGGGACATCATAGTACTAGTGGGGTTCTTCACAGACTTACCTGATGTAGTCATCGGCGATGACGGACGTATTTTGTTTGACATTGAAAGTAAGTTATTACCTCAGACAGTATCTACTAATCAATTTCTTCTAGATTCATCGCATGGAACTTTTTCATATTCAAATGCTCACCTTCCGTATATCATTCAATGCATCTGGCAGCGTATTTTTCCCTTCTCCGCACTTGCAAGTAAGTATCTACCAATAGATTTGCCGTATCCCCAGGCTGATATACATAGATGGAACAAAAGAAACACAGAAGGAAGATCAGGACCATGACGGTCAGTTGTTTTTGTATTCCTTTCTGTCAATACTCACTAAGTATAGACTTTGTCCACAAATTTCGAGGATACTTGGGCGTGATTATTGGCAAAGGGAACAAGATCATTCAGAAATCACAACCATGGCATGAGAAGAATCCAAAGAATGCCATCGCAGGGCCGTCTCGTATGTCTAACGAAGTTCTATTGAGTTTGGGGTTTAAATAAGCAATTATAGGTATTTCCAAAGATGTTATTGACTTGACTGGAGACAATGATAAAGGTACGTTTAGGTTCATGTTTAAAACTAGCACTAACTGTTCTTCCGGTCTCTAGAAGTTTGTTGCATGTGTGGATATTACCTTGATGCGGCATGGCACATTGAAGAACGTGGATATGTTGAACGCGGCTATGCTGTTCACATGCCACTATTATGATCATGTGTTATAATATGTCATATGTAGTCATATCTAGTTATTTACTATATGCGGATTCCTCAGTACTTCCTTATGTAATACTGTCATACAGTTATGTATATAAACAGGCCATATCCTGTACTGGAATCCAACTCGCTTCTCTCTTACTTTTATTGCCTCACTGAGACACTAAACTCTGCTACCTGTCATAAAGTACGCAGCCCCTATCATTTTCCTTTTCTCACCGTCTCGACGCCTTTACTTGTACGATACATCATCCCATCACTGTCAAACCCCCATCGATTACTGATCCATCGATTACTGATCCACCTGACCCATCTTCTCTTTCTACTGGCTTCCGCCACCTTCCTTGTTCCTAAACTGTACAGTATTACATCGTTGTTTCTCGCAGACCGGATTATGTATATATAGCCAACCCTCCACAGCCTGATCCCTTATCTTGACCTCTCTGTCATTATCTGGGACCAGTTTGCCTCCGCTCCGCTTAGTTGCTCCGCCTCGCTGACCTGCTTAGTCGCTCCGCCTCACCGTCTTGCTTAGTCACTCCGCCTCTGCCGCTTCGTGACATTAGGTCAAGATCCATTACTGCACTGACAGCCTACCCATAAGGTTGTCCTTGCAGGATCTATAGACACCACGTCTTCCCCAGTTCCGCCCGATTCTGAAACACCTGTTGCCAGTATAGACTGCTCCGCACTCCCGCACGCACTTGACCCCAGAGACCAAGCTCACGCCCATAACAACGACGATACTTGGCGCGATTGCCAGTCTCAACCCTGCCCCAACGCCCTTTCGAACTCAATCCGAGAGCCACTCACTGTGAGCAATATAACCTTCCTGCCGATTCCTCAGCCCCGATTGCCTACTCCCATCATGTCGACTCCTGTCCCACCTGCTCCAAATACCTCTGCGGAGGATCTCATGGCTCAGCTCATCAGACAAGTAGCCAACCTTGCTACAGCTATGGAGGAACGCTCATCCTCTAAGTCAAGCATGAACAAACCCGAGGTCTTCAAGGGTAAAGATGGCGCTGAAGCCCGTCGCTTCATGGCTCAGTTCCAGAATTGGGCGTCAGAACAACCTGATCTCGCCAAAAGCCAAGTCAAACTCATCAAGTCCGCCTTGGGCTTCTTCACAGAAAGTGCCGGAGATTGGGCAACCCCCCATCTGCTACATTTCAATGCGGAAAATCCCCCTTTCGGAGGAAATTGGGAGGCGTTTCTGAAGGAATTTAGCCAACGGTTTGAACCAATGGACCCAGGTATGGAAGCCCGTAGCGAGATCAAGAATCTCAGGCAAAGTAAAGGACAGACAGTTGCGGAATTCGCTCAGAAGTTCAAGGACATCGGAGATCGGACTGAAATGTCTGATATTGACTTGCGGGAACGCTTCTTCACTGCATTACTCCCAGAGATCCGACAACACCTTATCACCGTAAACATTGCCCAAGGAATTGCTCCGACTCTGAAGGAGGCAATCAAACGGGCCATATCGGTGGATGTCTACCTGCACGATCCCACCATGACCGGCCGGAATTCTGGATATTCCCCCACACATACCGCTCACACTACTCCTGCTGATCCCCACGCTATGGACATTGATGCAACCCACACCAGTAATGGGAATACTAGGGAGGCATTCCTAGCTCGCATGCGAGGACGATGCTTCGGTTGCGGTGCCCAAGGTCATGTCAAGCAAAACTGCCCACACCGAGAAACCACCTGCCGTTACTGTGGACGCCGAGGACATCTGGAAGCAGTCTGCCAAGACAAGTTCATGGGACTTGGACGAGACCGAGGCCGACGCCAGCAACCTCGACGCCAACAGATATCCGGTACGGTACCCGCGCCATTCTCCCTGTTCCCAAATGAATCCGTCCAGATCGCGTCCTCGACCCCAACATCTGCTCCTGCACCCGTAGCTGCTACTCCGAGCCCCCCTAACCAGGACTTTTCCAACCAGATTGGTCAAATAAGGGAATTACTTGATCGTGCTAATGCTATGTCCTCCTCGTCCTCTGGCTTTCAACAGGGTTTTTAAAGAGGGTACCCGCTTCGGCTGCACCGAGAGTACCCCGTAATCAGTTTGTTATGTTCGCTACTTCCTCGTATGACTCGCATCCATCATGTACAATATCGTCGATCCGGGAATTAAACTCTACTTCCCCACATTTCCGAATTCATGCGAGACTAAGAGGAAGGAATCACAGTATAACAACTGCAGCCATGGTAGACTGTGGAGCTACCGCCCTGTTTTTAAACCAAGACTTTGTCACCCGGAACCATGTAAGATGTGCACCCCTCCATAAACCGATCGACGTCTTTAATATCGATGGAACACCTAACCGAGCTGGACGGATAACCCATTTTGCACGTCTAGCACTCACAGTGGATAATCAAGAGCGATGGATGGACTTTCTGATCACCAACCTAGGAGGTGAAGACATCATCCTTGGACTTCCCTGGCTACGGAAGGTAAATCCGGAGATTGATTGGGAGAAAGGACGACTTTCAGTAAAGCCTCCTCGAGTAACGATAGAAGAAGTCCCAGACGAGGAGATCTTGTACTCTCATCTAGCCGCCACTCACACAGAAACCCCAATCCTCGAACTCCCAGAACTGGAACCTCCCGCAGAAAACCCCCACATTGAGGTGCCACTAGAAGCGACCCTTGAACAGAGTGAATCAGTAGCGGTGGAAGAACCACCAATACACCGAATTCGAGCCAATCATAAAACTCGCCGGGCATGGGTAAAAGCAGGAATTCTAGAGGAACAGACGGAGGAAGTCTGGTGCGCCGCAGGATTCACTTACTCCCAGCAGCTAGCAGAGGAAGCCAACCGAGACAAACCCGTTAAAACCTTCGAAGAAATGGTCCCTGAGCAGTATCGTGATTTCAAGAAGGTTTTCTCAGAATCCGCCTCCGAACGATTACCTGCCCACCAACCTTGGGACCATGCAATTGATCTCGTACCTGGAGCACCGGCAACCATGCGTACCAAGATTTATCCCATGTCCCTAAACGAGCAGGAGGAGTTGGATCGTTTCCTAGAAGAAAACCTGCGGAAAGGCTATATCGTACCCTCAAAATCACCAATCTCATCACCGGTCTTCTTCGTAAAGAAGAAGGATGGGAAACTCCGTTTTGTACAAGACTACCGGAAACTGAACGAGTACACTGTGAAGAACCGATACCCTCTCCCATTAGTTGCTGACATCATTAGCCGACTTCAGGGAGCAAGATACTTCACGAAGTTTGATGTCCGCTGGGGTTACAATAACATACGGATTAAGAAGGGGCATGAATGGAAAGGCGCGTTCGCAACAACCCGAGGCTTGTTCGAGCCTAAGGTCATGTTCTTTGGCCTCACAAATTCCCCTGCCACGTTCCAAGCACTTATGAATGCTATATTTGCTGATCTCATTGCAGCCGGCAAGGTGGCAGTCTACCTAGATGACATCCTTATCTTCAGTAACGATCTCGAGGAACACCGACAAATGGTACGGGAAGTATTAACTCGGTTAGAAAAGCACGACCTCTACCTACGACCCGAAAAATGCGAATTTGAACAACAACAGATTGAATACCTCGGACTCATCATCTCAGAAGGGGAGGTGAGAATGGATCCGGTAAAAGTAGCGGCTGTTCGTGACTGGCCAGTCCCTACTAACCTTCGGGAACTACGAGGGTTCTTGGGATTTGCAAACTTCTACCGACGCTTCATCCGGAATTTTGCCAAAATAGCACGACCTCTGAATGACCTGACGAAGAAAGACACCAGCTTTACCTGGACTGACACTCGACAGAAAGCATTTGACACCCTTCGAGAAGCCTTCATCTCCGCACCGATCCTTGCTCTATGGACACCAGACAGGCCTACTCGAATCGAGGTAGACGCATCAGGCTTTGCCACGGGAGGCGCCCTTATGCAGAAGCAAGACGACGGCCAATGGCATCCAGTAGCCTTCAGATCGGCATCCATGCAGCCAGCGGAACGGAACTACGAAATCTACGATCGAGAGATGCTTGCTATCATTGAAGCACTGAAGGATTGGAGGAACTTTCTAGAAGGACTCCCTCAACCATTCGACATCATTACGGACCATTCGAACCTCGAATTCTGGCGCACTGCACAAGACCTCACCCGCCGACAAGCCCGATGGGCCCTCTATCTGTCACGGTTTGACTTTCATATGATCCACCGCCCTGGCAGAGTAAACACCCAAGCTGATGCTCTCTCTCGCATGGCAGTTCATCATGTATCGGACAGCGATGATAACCGGCAACAGACAGTCCTTAAACCCGGCCACTTCGTAAAAATTGCAGCTTCGATCCTACAGAACCCCTTAGAGGATCGTATCCGGAAAGCCTCAGAACGGGAAGCACAGGTATTGGAGGGTCTCAAAACAGTCAAAGAGCACGGACTACAGCGCTTGGCCAATGGGATAGCCGAATGGGAAGAGGACAATGGGTTGGTCTACTACCGAGGTCGGGTATATGTACCAGCAAACGACGACCTACGCACTGAGGTACTCCGTCAATGCCATGACCATCCAACTGCAGGACACCCCGGACTACACGGGACACTCGACTTGGTCAGTACCCATTTCTGGTGGCCCACGCTGCGCTCTTTCGTGGAAAAATACGTTGAGGGATGCGAGGTTTGTGCCCGTAAGAAGATCCAGCGACACCCACGGGCCGTAACTCAACCATTAGATGTACCATCCGGTCTATGGGAAGAGGTAGGGGTTGACCTGATAACACAGCTACCTAACTCCCAAGGCTACGATGCCGTCTTGGTCTGCACAGACCTGTATGGAAAACAAATTCACGCTATTCCTTGCACCAGCTCCATCACAGCCGAAGGCGTTGCCGATATCTACTACCGAGAGATCTTCCGTCTCCATGGTCTTCCTCTTCACTTTAAATCCGACCGCGGACCCCAGTTTGCAGCTAAACTCATGCGATCCCTTCTCGCTAGGCTAGGAATTAAATCAGATCTAACCTCCGGATACCGTCCTCAGTCCAATGGCCAAACCGAACGAGCAAATCAGGAAGTAGAGAAATACATCCGCCTCTATGTGGGACGACGACAAGACGACTGGGCAGA